TGTCGTCTGTGTGGTCCACAGTGAATGTATTCCTGACAGCCACAGGTGATAAGAATCAAAGGTTCCCAGAGGATCCCATAGGAAATGCATGCGGGTCATTTTGACCCACTTATGGAAGCTTGGGGTAGAAATACAAAAACTACAATTTCTTAAAATGTACATTTAAAATGTGAATGGCTCGATATCCAAAACATGTTTTCTGAGGAATGGAATATGAAATGATAAAAAAATGTAATTACAAAGATTACAAAGAAGACCCACTTATGCATCTAAGGGTTCAAATGTATCCACATATTATTTTGACACATTCTTGACTTGCAGTTTGGAGAAGCATTTCATCCTTTCAAGTTGTTTTTTATTAAACCCATCAGACATATCTCCAGATCTGGGAGTGGTGCTGCTTTAAAAGTCTTTAATCCTCTTGGAGTCAGTCAGGTGTTCCACAAACTCTGAACCTCGTCGTATTGATCCAAAGTAAGACCGAAATACTAAAGTCAACTCTAATATTGTACAACTCAATGGATCAAAGGATATTTTGACATTTCGTAGGCCAAACCCAGAGACATATTGCCATAATACCTCAAATGGGTGTTTTCTGCCTTAAATAAATGTAATGCTTACATTCCATACAAAATGTGTTGCTAAAGAGGAAGACAACTCACCCTCATCATCCTCCTCCTCCTCCTCCTCTTCTTCTTCATCACTGCTGAAGGTGATCGCCGGTTTCTTGGACTTGCGAGATTTCTTAGGCGTCACAAAGCTGTCGTCGCATCGGCTGGAAACCGAGGGCTTCGCTTGACCTAAAACAAAACGGGAAGCAAAATCAAATTGTCACATAGAATCTGTATCTGCACATCATGCAGGGAAAATGGACTGCGTTCATATAAAGCTTTTCCAGGCTTAGCGACCCCTCAAAGAGCTTTTGCATTTACAAGTCAGCATTCACACACAGGCTGTATCACAAAGGGCCAAATGCATTCACACACCGACACACCATCGGGAGCATTTTGGTGTTAAGTATCTTGCCCAAGGACACATTGACATGTTGAGGCAAGGGTTGGGGATCCATCCACCGCCCCCTTCTGATTGGTGGACGACCACAGCAGCCCCTGAAAGTGAAACCCCATGAGCACTGACCTCTCTTTGCCCTCTGCCGGCCCCTGGCGGCTGCAGGAGTTCGAATGACCGTCTTCTCAGAGGGTCCTCCTTCCTTCTGGTTCTCCTCGTCCATCTCGGGACTCTCCACGTTCTCCAGTCCCCGCGTGTGAACTGCAGTCAGACGCTTCTCAAACTCGTCCACCTGGGCCTGGAGGAAGCAAACATATCAGTAAACAAGGACATGACATCAAGCTGAGCTGGAAATGAGAGAAGTTGCAAGACGATCAAAAATATATTCAAGGCTCTGAATATATTTTGCACATCTCTTTTCAACTTCTTTCCATTGAACATGGCTCACAAAATGCTGTTCACATGGTGTGCATTCATTGAACCCATAGTGTGAGTCTGACGCACCTTGAACAGGGCTTTGGCCCCGCGCCGCAGCTTGGCGGTGATGGAGAGCAGCGGCTGGTAGACGCCGGGCTCAGTCAGCTTGTCGCTGTAACACTCCCAGCACTCCTGCAGCCTCTTGAAGCCACGCTCACACATGGAGAGCAGAGACAGAGACACGGCCAGGTCGCACCACTGCCGCTCCGTCCTGAGGGGGGGGGGGGGGGGCACAAGAGAAACGTGGACATTTACAGGTCACCTATTATGCAAAATCCACTTGTTCATGTCTCTTCTACATCACCATGTGTCCCCTCTTCTTCATGTCTCTTCTACATCACCATGTGTCCCCTCTTCTTCATGTCTCTTCTACATCAACATGTGTCCCCTCTTCTTCATGTCTCTTCTACATCAACATGTGTCCCCTCTTCTTCATGTCTCTTCTACATCAACATGTGTCCCCTCTTCTTCATGTCTCTTCTACATCAACATGTGTCCCCTCTTCTTCACGTCTCTTCTACATCAACATGTGTCCCCTCTTCTTCATGTCTCTTCTACATCAACATGTGTCCCTCTTCTTCATGTCTCCTCTACATCAACATGTGTCCCCTCTTCTTCATGTCTCTTCTACATCAACATGTGTCCCCTCTTCTTCATGTCTCTTCTACATCAACATGTGTCCCCTCTTCTTCATGTCTCTTCTACATCAACATGTGTCCCCTCTTCTTCATGGTTCTTCTACATCAACATGTGTCCCCTCTTCTTCACGTCTCTTCTACATCAACATGTGTTCCCCTCTTCTTCATGTCTCTTCTACATCAACATGTGTCCCCTCTTCTTCTCTTCTACACACATGTGTCCCCTTCTCAATGTCTCTTCTACATCACCATGTGTCCCCTCTTCTTCACGTCTCTTCTACATCAAACATGTTGTCCCCTCTTCTTCACGTCTCTTCTACATCAACATGTGTCCCCTCTTCTTCATGTCTCTTCTACATCAACATGTGTCCCCTCTTCTTCATGTCTCTTCTACATCAACATGTGTCCCCTCTTCTTCATGTCTCTTCTACATCAACATGTGTCCCCTCTTCTTCATGTCTCTTCTACATCAACATGTGTCCCCTCTTCTTCATGTCTCTTCTACATCAACATGTGTCCCCTCTTCTTCATGTCTCTTCTACATCAACATGTGTCCCTCTTCTTCATGTCTCTTCTACATCAACATGTGTCCCCTCTTCTTCATGTCTCTTCTACATCAACATGTGTCCCCTCTTCTTCATGTCTCTTCTACATCAACATGTGTCCCCTCTTCTTCATGTCTCTTCTACATCAACATGTGTCCCCTCTTCTTCATGTTTCTTCTACATCAACATGTGTCCCCTCTTCTCCATGTCTCTTCTACATCAACATGTGTCCCCTCTTCTTCATGTTTCTTCTACATCAACATGTGTCCCCTCTTCTTCATGTCTCTTCTACATCAACATGTGTCCCCTCTTCTTCATGTCTCTTCTACATCAACATGTGTCCCCTCTTCTTCATGTCTCTTCTACATCACCATGTGTCCCCTCTTCTTCATGTATCTTCTACATCAACATGTGTCCCCTCTTCTTCATGTCTCTTCTACATCAACATGTGTCCCCTCTGTGGAAAGAGACTCTGAAAGTTTCAGGAACAAAGATTCTCTCTCTTTTTGATCCATTTCTATAAAAACCTGTCTGAAAACGAGCTGATCAGATTTTGGCCACTTTATGATGTCATAACGATTTTTTGTCTTGTGTAACCATTAGCCAATCAGCAACCAAGGTAACCCCCCCCCCACTTTATCACCTGAATCTCCTCCTAGAGCACCATTGAGTTCTTTGTAACCAAATCTCTCTCAGAGGGGCGTGGGGAGGGGCTCCTTATTTTCATCTAAAGTAACAGACAGAGAATCAGCACTTTGGAAACAGGGCTGAAACAGAGGGGATTATGGGTAATGCTACAATGATCTGTTTGGTGTTCGGAGCCAATCACTTCAGAGACATGTTTTGTATCTGAGACATATAATATATGGATGAAAAACAGTATAACAGGTGACCTTTAACCTGATTACTAACTGTATGTGAAATGCATCGAAATTCCAGATCCTCAACATAAAAACCGCATTACTCATAAATATGGCCTCTGCTCTGGCATTTGTTCCAAATCTCATTTCCCGGGACCCTCGTATCTAAATTCACTTTGCCATTGTGTAATGTAAAATGTCCTTAGAGCGAAGTATGGATGGAGCGTGAGTCAGAGGCAGACTGAAGCCCGGCCAATTGCTCCATCTACGTTCCTCAAATACACGGGAAGGCGGTTTCCATGACAAAGTGAGAGAAGAGTACGTCAAGGTGCACGAGAGGTACGTCTATTTGTAGATCATATCGGAATAAGTGCTTTCTTATAAAAAAATATATGAATAAATCTGTTAAAATAGAGTAAGATACTAGGACAGGGTATATGCAGGAACCCTGAAGTCAAATGTCCTTTAAGACTCTTTCCCTACATGTTAAGACCTCATCGCCACTTGGAATTTTAACCGGTTACCTTGGCGACACACTTTACTATATGTGACCCGCTCTATCGCCGGCTCATTTCAAAATAAACGTGGATTTGCATAACAAAACTATTTTTTCGGGGTTTTGTTTGATTTTAAACAAACAAAGTCTTGGCTTTCAGAATATAAAACTTTTATTTCCAAAATCACACGATAAATACATTTTTGAAGCTTGTAAAGGGAAGAAGACAGCTCTCACTCCACTCTGCTCTTCCACACGCCGCCCCCCCTCCCTCCGGCTCACATTATGAATGTAAGCGTATAGTAATCATAGATAACACGGCAGGGTCCGTGACAGTTTGTTTTCATCTGATTTCAATTAAACAAAGTCTTGGCTTTCAGAATATTAAACTTGTTTCAGCAAATTCAGATGATAAATACAACTTTGAAGCTTTGGCATAATTACAAGCAGAGAACGGAGTAACTTGACGTCACAGCAGGCATAACAACAGCCGGTGTTTCTCCTGAGGACACGGACACACACACACACACGCGAAAATATCATCCCTCCGTAGTATTTTGATAATTTGCTCCACTAATAACCAATCAGATCGATGGATTCCAGAGAAGAGAAAACTTTGAAGGCCTTTTTCTCAAATGATGACTCTGTGACAGTCATTATATAATGCAACATATCTCCCTTAAAGGTGGGGTAGGTAAGTTTCAGAAACCGGCTTGAGATACACTTTTTGTTATATTCCATGGAATGCTCTTAACATCCCGATAGCAATTATTATCTGAAGTGCTTTGACAAAAAATCCATAAAAACATTTCATCTGTGGAAGCCGTAGTACTGTAAAAAGTACGACCAATCATTTGAGCCGGGCCGGCTAAACGGATTGGATTGCCGCCCTGTCTGTCAGCCTTCCATCTCGTGCACGCACAAATGTATCTCGTGCCCTCATTGGGCGTGCCCTCATGGCGTGCCTCATTGTCGGCATTGCAGCTGTACTTCAATGACTCGCCAGCAACAGGCGGCCACTTTCACCAGTCTGCTGACGTCATGCGCGTCCATGTGTGTTGGAGGAGGTGCTCTGTAAGGAAGTCTGAAGGAAGGGGCGGATTCTTTTCGGCTGTGTACTTTCAAATTTTAGTGCACTCGAGCCGGTTTCTGAAACTTACCTACCCCACCTTTAATATTTGGAGTACAAAAACAATCCTGATATCATTAGAAAGCTCGGAATCTCCTCTTTCCAACAGTGTATACAACTCAAAATGTGTCTTCGGGTCAATGCGACTGATTTCGATAGAGCAGGTCACATACAGTATTGATTGTCCTTCCTCCTTATCTTCCAACCATTTGGACGCAGACTTGCATTTCCCCATAACGATGTTGTTTAACAACCGGCGTAAACGGACCTTCGCGCTCCATCAAGCAGTGAGCGTGCGATGTCCTGTTCAGATGACGTCATTGCTGCTTTTAAGGGTAGTGCTTGAACCGGAAACAACAAGGCAATTTTAGATTATTGTGCTTGAAGATGTTTAATTAGGGATGCGCCGATCGATATCGGCCGATATTCACTCTCTGCCGATCGATCAGTGCTCTCTATAACTGCTGATCGTGAGAGCCGATCGCATGACGTAAAATACATGACACTTTTGTCTGTGTGCAGCAAAACAAGCTCTCCAAAATGGCTTCACCGGTCTGGCAGTATTTCAAGGTGTCCGAAAAAGACAGTAAAATGGCGGTATGCAACGTGTGTGAAGCAGAAATCCTGCAGCTCCGTCCGCTGTGACGGACCGGAGAGCGGAGCCAAACACACAAGAGTTAGACCTAACACACTTAGCTATTGTATCTACCTCTGGAACAAGCTAAACTAGTTATACATATATTTATTCTTCACTGTCGGGTCACTCATTACCGGATCAGTGATCTGCATGAGACGATACTGACAGGCTGTCAGGAGAGGAAGAGAGAGCGAGAGAGAGAGAGAAAAAGAGAGGCTTCTGCTCATTTCTCCCGTATATCCAAAGTGAATGTAAACTTGAATAATGTACTTCATTTGAATGTAATAATTATGTTGGTTGTTGTTTGTGGAAGCGCCAGTGAATGAGCCCCATTAACTGAGTTTTAAACATCACTTTAAAATGGAAGACCCCCATAGGCCCCGCCCACTCGATGGGATTGGCCGATACTGATTCCGGCGATCGGCCCCAAAATTAGCGACCGGAGCGTCCCTATGTTTAATGGCGTTAGATTCAGTGTGCTAAAAGCAGTCACAGCCAATTCATTTTGTAGGATTGAAAACTAACTAGGAAACTTTCACGAATGTGTTCATGCTACTGCTTATCAAAACAGGAATGGGAATATGAAGTTTATTTGGAGGGGTCTTCTCTATGGGTCAGAAGCTCCAAGCACAAAAGGAGAGAGGACGGGAAAGAAGACGTGGGGGCTGACCGTCATTTCTGAATCACGCTTTAATGGTCAAGTCTTCCCAACGCGCTGAAGACACCCACTAATTACAGTCACCTCCCTTCCTGCATCGTGCTCAAATGAAATGCTGCAGACAGAGATGGGAGGAGGAGGAGAGGTTTACTCACTTGGCCGTCCTGAAGCGCTGACACAGTTTCTCTACCAGAGACTCGGTCTGCCTCTCCTTGGTGATGTAGGAGAAGAGCTGTCTGAAGACACAAAACAATACAGCGTTAAACAAACATCTCAAAATAGAAAAGCTGTCAAGTTTCCCCTGAAAACGTTTTAAACACGTCAGTCCTGCTGACAGTGGACAACTCCTCAGTGGACGAAGGAGAAAATAAGCACATTACGAGCAATGACCTGATGGTTATCCTGAATATATTATTAATACTTGTGCACATTTTTACTTCTTATGTTTATATTGAGTATATATTATTTTTGATCCCATTTTATTTTCTTGTACATTTTCACAACAATATAAATATTTGTAGTCCATTTTGTTATTAGGCGCATTCACACTGCGGTACTTTTCCCACAAAGGTTCATGTGAACTTAGTTCATGTGAACTCTTTAGTTCTCATGAACTAAGTACAGATCGCGTTCACACTGGAATAAGTCCCTGGGGGTGGATTAGGCAAATGAAGCCGCTGACGTCACTTGTTCTTCTTCTGCTTTGGGCTTACTGGCAGGCCGCAAACCACTTCACGGCGTATACTGCCACCCAAAGTCCCCGGCCGGAAGTCCCCGGAGTTGGGGACTGGCTTCAGTAGAAGCTGCTGGGACTCCCAGCAGCTTCTACTGAAGCCTTCCGAGTAAATCGCCAGAACGCCGACACCTCCTCATCTCCACCGCTCCCATGTTTTATTTTGTGTTGCCATAAGTTAGTCTCTCTGCGTTTCTGCGCTGGGCTAATGCTAATGCTAATGCAAGGATAATAAAATGGCGGCTTCACAAAACTTTTTGGGAGTTTTACGGGGCGTGGTTTGCAATCCTTCCAGCCAATCAGAAATATAGCTCTTTTCTCACAAAAGAGCCGCACGAAAGTCCCTGCTCTCTAGCAGTATATATATATATATATTAGGGCTGTCAAGTTAACGCGTTAATAACGCAAAAAAAGAATTAACGCCACCAATTATTTTAACGCGATTAACGCATGTGTATTTGTTTTCCTCGGCCGCCCCGTAGTTTCAGAGCGCATCGAGTTTAAAATACCATCTACAAGCTGATGCTGACAGCCCCGCTCCTGCCGCCCGCTTGTGGCAGAGCACACTTCCACGCTCACCGGCAGGCACCGACTGGCTGTTGGGAGGACCGGGAGGGTGTGTGTATGTGTGCCCCGAGCGAGCGAGAGAGAGACCTTACGTGCATTGTTGTTGTTAGCATCTGGTGCTAGCTAGCTGCGCTAACAGATATAAGGAGCTGCTTAAATGAAAACAGAGGAGCAACATTTCGCCGAGCACTTGACTTTATGCAGGAAGCCAGACAGTGGGACATTGTACGAGAAGTCAGCACACTCAGCACGGATAGCAGCGTCCAGGCAGCTCCCGTTCGAGCATATGCCTTGAGTTGCACATAGCTCCAACGAACACACACACACCATTTTTATTGTATTAGGTTCCAGGTTGAATTGAGGCGAATATTTGTAATGTTCAGAAGTTGTGTTTAATATTCATGAGAATTTTTGTCATTGTTCAAATGATAATAAACATTAGCATAAAGCTATTTGTCCACTCATATGTTGATAAGAGTATTAAAAACTTGAAAAATATTCCTCTAAGGTAGGCCTACATTTAAAACAGATCAAAAATGTGCGATTAACTATGGACAATCATGCGATTAATCGCGATTAAATATTTTAATCGACTGACAGCCCTAATATATATATATATATATATATATATATATATATATATATATATATAATTTTCTAGGGCTGTCCCAAATACCATTTTTCGGGCTACGGATATTCGGTAGTAATCAGCAGCGGATATTCGGCCCGCTGGGGGGGGTATGGGGGGGATGCAGTGCAGCTGCCAAAAAAAAGAAATTGAAACCCGAATAGTACTCTAACGAACGAATATTCGGGTACAGCCCTATAATTTTCCTGGATATATTTCATCGTATTGGATTTGTCTCTTCTTCGTATGTTTATTTAAAAAAATGTATTTCAATTTTATTTACTTAATTACATTTCTCCTCTAAATTGCTAAGTGTATTTCCAAATGTTCCTACAAATTTAATTTATACATTTTTGGGAAAAGTAATCAGTTATGTTTATATCCATTTTTGCTCCATTTTAAAATTTGCATATTTGTATTTATATTCATGATAATATGAATATCTGTTAGGGCTGCGAGATATATCGTGTCGTGACGATAATCGCATTTTCTTTTTAGGACGTGCAATATTAAGGAGGCAAATGAACTCAAACACGTCATGTTACAATTATTTTGCTGCTCGCTACAAAAGGAAAAGTCGTGCGGCTCTCATGTCGGGTGAGTGAGTGACATGCCGGCTCTGCATGCACAGCAAACCACCAATCACAATCATTCTTGATCAGATCACAGCAGGATAACCGAGCTAGCTCAGCTTGTTGCTCTGATAACTTAAGATCCAGAAGTCCGTGACTAAAATCCTTCATCCGGTTAAATATCGTTAAAAAAAAATACCAATTGTATAGCATTAAAGTTCAAGAAAGGAAGGTTTGTGGACAAAAAAAACCGGTCTTTTCTTCAATTCCTGTATTATTTCATATCGCAGGGGAAGAAAATATGGCAATGTCAGTTTTTTCCAATATCGTGCAGCTCTAGTATCTGTATTCTAATTTACTTTCTTCTTATTGCACATTTGTACTTAAACTTCTTATGTTTACAAACAATGGTTTTATTGTATATTCTCATTGCACTTTCAATGTATATATAAATGTTATATATTTTTATTTTATTCTCAGATTGAGTAACCGTCACAACAAATTCGTCCATTAAAAAAATTCTAGTATTTGAGATAGTACTGTTATTGTGATGAGAGTAGACCCTGAACGGCTGTAACTCACTTCATGATGGTGTTGAAGTTCTCGGAGCTCATGCCTCTCTCGGGGTCAGACAGGCGGCTGATGATGTCTGGCAGCAGGTTGTAGATGGCGTTGTCCTGAAGGGAAACACAACGAGTTAAAAACCCTTCCAATTACTCTATTACATTCTGACTGTGTGTGTGTGTGTGTGTGTGTGTGTACACCTTGGATGCCAGCTCATTGAAGAAGTTGAGGGCGAGGCTGCAGATGTGAGTTTCGGGGTCAATTAGCAGCACGGCCACCTCGCTGACTTGACCTTTGACCTTGAGCACATCCTTGAGCACCAGCTGGGTGAGGACTGTCACCGCTGTCTGCCGCACGGAGGGAACCTCGTCACTGAGCCTGAGGAGGAGAGGAGGAGGACATGAGACATCTGATGTGAAGCTTTCTTAATCAGCTTCTCTTACTATGAGCGATAGCCTCCAAATTTAACAGTTTTTGTCCAAAATGATAAATACTAACGAGGTGAATTTCCCCCAGAACTTAACTTTGATTCTTAGTAATGGGGGTTTAAAACATACAAAGAAATTGTTCAGATGCAATGACTTTGTGGTCACTTTAAGACCCTGACAACACAAGGAGAACATGCACATCAGTGCCAATCACATCCAATTGTACATTTAAAATAAATTGCAATTCAAAACTATGAGGTTGCATGAACTAAGTCATTATGATACATCCGCTGGAAAAAAAACAAGTATTTACTGCAAAAATAGTGGTACAGAGCAACACAGGTGGGGCATACAGGTATGCCGCAAAAGGCCTAACGGTTCTTCTGGAGGAAGATTAAGGCATACATAACACCTGACGAGGAAACGTTACTCGTGGATGGGGCTACAGAGCTACTAGAAAGACAGTCGAACCCGGTGCATTCCTCCGTCTGAATGTGGAGCACTTTTGCTAAATGTTTAGACACATTGCTGGCGTTACGAGCTTCCCCCAGACCAGTAATCCAAACGAAAATATCTTTCCTCCGTAGTATTTTGATCATTTATTAGCCGCTAATAATCAATCAGATCGATGGATTCCAGAGAAGAGAAAACTTTGAAGGCCTTTTTCTCAAAATGATGACTCGGTGACAGTCTTTATATAATGTGACATATTTCGCTTAATATTTGGAGTACAAAAACAATCCTGATATCATTAGAAAGCTAGGAATATCCTCTTTCCAACAGGGTATACAACTCAAAATGTGTCTTCGGGTCAATGCGACTGATTTCGATAGAGCAGGTCACATATGTACTACAGCGTCTCCAGCGCTTTCGAGCGGCAATGGCCGGCCGTGGCCCAACCCCACATTCCCCTGATAGGTGGAGAGTTGGCCCAATAGCCGTAGCGCCACCGTCCTGACAGTGTTCAAATCTGGATCAGTCTGTATCAGATCCGTTGCAGCCCCTTTTTTAGAGATTTGGGTACGGAGGAAAAGAGAGAGGGTTGTGTTTCCTGACACTTGGTGAGTTCCCTGACACACCGGGGACACATATTCATGTATAAAAGACGTATAAAAGTGCATTTTGCATGATAGGTACCCTTTAAGTTAAAGTCAGGGGATCAGCAAAGTCAGTAATGGCACCATGAATGTCTGCAAACAAACGCATTGTAGTAGGTGGACAAACTAAAAACTGTTGCAACCTGTGCAGTTGTAACTTCCCAGTCCTCGATGATTAAGCTTTCTATAAAGAATGGGTTTTTAAGCAGAAAGTTTGTGAAACCTAACTACTGTCAGGGCCTCGGCTGAATACAATGGGAGTTGGATAGGCTGTAGCGGAGCAATCTGATCGCTTTGAGAACAATTTAGATTTACCCTCACCCCAAACCAGAGCACAAAAGAAACTCATTAACCATTTCTCCTTTATGCCAGAGAGCACGACTCCTGGCAGATGATCAGACACTCGTTCATAACACTTTCTAATGCCAATGCGCGAGTTGGTAACGGGTAATTAATTCTTAATGCGCTTATCAGGAGGCTCCAGGGCAGCAGCCTGCAGAAGAGTGGAGGTGTTGGTGTGTGGGAGACAATTAGGGAACATTATGACATGTTTATCAGCTAGAAAACACAAGTAGGGCGGAGCAGCATTATGAAGGAACAGAATGTTTTACACGAGCACCATCAACCGTTATAATTAAAACCACACTTCATCAAACACGGAAACTTCAGCTACAGGAAAACATGCAGAAACCATTAAGGGTTTTACAAATGAAAGCGTACCTACTAGAGTAGTGGGGTGAAGACCCTTCGCCTTCACCCCAAATTACTCCTTCCTGCTCAGCCAACCGCTCTGTATAATTACAACACACTAGTCATTGATTCGACTCACAATACGCAACACACTAGTAATTAGGTTGTTCCTTGTCTAAAAGTGTCCCTCGTCTGAGGCGGTTACGGGATCCAGCCCGGGTCACGCGTGTAGGGGGCGGCTTTCATCTACTGGTCAGTTTCCATGGCAACCGCTTAGGTCAGTTTACAAAAGATGATCTCAAAGTTCGTTCGCTCCATTAAAAATAGTTTGGAGATTAGGAGAACATTTAAACTGAACTCTAGTTTTCTGTTATGACAAAGATTAAAGTAGCAAAAAAAAAAAAAGGTACTGTTGCGTATAGTGTTAATTTAGTTGACTAAAACTATGACGAAATATGTTCGTCAACGACCTTTTTTTCCATGACGAAAACGAGACGATGACGAGACGGCAGTAAACAATAACTGTAACGAAATCATGCAATATCGTTGACGAAAAGTGACGAGACGAAAATGTAGTTTACTAAATAAAAATCTCTCTTTACTTTCGTTGATGAAAAATGTGGAGACGAAATATTATCAAAGATAACGTTACATTTCTGATAGTCAGTTTTTCTCCCAGCAGTTCCATTTGCGGTGCTGCGGCTGGGCAGCAGCTGTGTGTGTCTGTGCTGCGGCTGGGCAGCAGCTGTGTGTGTCTGTGCTGCGGCTGGGCAGCAGCTGTGTGTGTCTGTGCTGCGGCTGGGCAGCAGCTGTGTGTGTCTGTGCTGCGGCTGGGCAGCAGCTGTGTGTGTCTGTGCTGCGGCTGGGCAGCAGCTGTGTGTGTCTGTGCTGCGGCTGGGCAGCAGCTGTGTGTGTCTGTGCTGCGCGCGGCGGTACATTTGAATTACACCGGGCAGCGGCACACTGTGAACTGTCAGGAAGACTCGGGTCTAACTCATGGTCTAACTAACTTTATTCAACAGAAAATAAAATGGCAACAACAGGGCTTGGGAGCAGTGGTCGCACTCGCGTTAACCGAATACCCCCCGTCAGCGCGAGTGAGTGATAAATTGTGCACTCGACGGATAATAATGGATTATGACGGAAATGTTACGATCCTGTCCGTCAAAATGACTGACAACGAAAAAGTCTAAAGCCACCACTGCTTGGGAGAAAGAAACAAAGTGATATTTGGGCCCTTTTTCGCTACAATGAGGCGGAGAAAAAAAGCGAATGCATTGTTTCATCAGAAGGGAAGCAATGTGGCCATAACACAGCTGAGCAGATACTCTCTGCAAAGCTGCATTCTTAATCATTCAACCTGTGGTTTTCATCAAATAAGGACAAGATATAATCTTATTGTGAAATACATTTGACTAAAATGACAAATTATTGGTTTTGGCCAGACTACTTTGAAATGTTCTATATAATCTGATGACTAAAAAAGACTCAACAGTTTTCATTGACAAAAAGTAGACTAAAATAATTAGTTTTCTGTGACTAAAATAAGACTAAAATGTAAATACAGGATGAAGGTGACTAAAACGAAAATGTAACACAGGACTAAGACTAAAACTAAATAAAAAAATAGCTGACGAAATTAACACTAGTTGCGTACCAATATACAATACAGGCACCAGTTGTGTTTAATATAGGTATTCTCAACAGTCAAGAGATTATACAAAATTTAGACCGACACTTAAGACAAACCTAACCAAAAACAAGATCAAAATAGACGGGAAAAACGTGTGCATTGACCAAATCTCAAAATATCAGTCAGTTGTACAGTTTTAAGAACTGTCCTATTATTTTTCCAGTCAAGCTCCTGTAAGAAACATACAATCAATAGGGTGCTATACAATGACATTATAACTTTATAGATGTTAAATAGTACATTAATTAAAAGCAGTGCCAATTTAGCTTTTTATGATGGGGTGAACACAGACTGTGGGTAACTAGGAAACATTTGCAGAATTATTTGAGTGCATCTTGACATCAGAGTTTACCAACATAGATAATCTCAACGTATGTTCTCCCTTTTAGAAAGTGGTGATGGAAAGAGGAAGGAGTACTTTCGTTAATACAGAGAATATAATATATATATATAAGTGCTGTTGGGTATCAGTTGTAATGCAAGTGGTGCATAACTCCACATGGGTCATCTGCTTGTGGAAACCAGACATCATACATCTGCTTTAACTGGATAGAAACACACTTCCTTATGCGCACGTTTGTGAAGGAGCTGAAGACAGACAGTGGGTAGTAAGGAAATGTGATGAATTTGCAGAATAATATAAGTGTATCTTGTCATCAGAGTTTACTAACATGGATCATCTCAAAGTTTGTTTCCCCCCCATGAAAGAAGTAGTGATGGAAAGAGGAAACGCTTCCCATCATGTGGCTCAGTGGAGCATCGTGACAGCAGCAACCCTTCAGTGGATGAGAGGAAGATGGTGCTCTGAGAGGAAACATATTTCCCCACTCAACTGCACGTCAAGTATTGGCTGTCCAAGCTACAACGCTACTGGACTTGTGTGAAAGAACTGTATATTATAAAATATACAGCTGCATCCCCGCTGTCTCACGGAGAGATGCCGCAGGTCTTTCCTTCCTGCAGCGGTCCGACTATACAACCAGCACAGCCCCTAGTTGTGATTAAGTGGAAGATTATCTGATAAGTGAGGGGGCGGTGATGAACACGAGCTGCTACCGTGACAAACTCATTCACTCGGCTGATTTTAAGTGAACTTGTCATGTCATTTATTACCTGCCGTAGAGGTTCTGTGTCCAGGGCTCCAGTATGTTGGGGAAGCGGACGATGAGGTCTCCCAGGGCGATGATGGCGTTGGCTCTGACTACCGGGAGGGTGGAGCGCTCCAGCACCGTGAACATCAGACGGATGTTCTCCTCACACACCGAGGGGCTGATTAGAGACAGAAATCACAGCATTAAAAGTTATCCTGATCATTTACACTTTATGATGTTCAACTTTTTACAAGTACTAACAAGTAATAATGTATATTCTTTCTGCATCTTTGCAAACAGTACGAAAGAGAGATGCGTTTAATTTATAGCACTTTTTGATATGAAGTACCATTTAAAAAAAAAATTGTTATCAGCGTGCCAACGATCGAGAATTATCAACGGGGGGGGGGGGTTGAGGAGCTTGACGCTCGTGAACTATCAGAAGGAGGGCGGGGGAGCCTCGCTGCGGGGAAGCAGTGTGTGGACCTGTCAGCGCAACTTACATGATGCCGAATTTAACAAACACATTTAAATAATTGGTTTAAACGGCATGATAATAAGGACGATCGTCCGTTCTGTGATTCTCCAGAGCACACATGTTATGATATTAGGGTCATGCAGAGTGAGATGAGATCGCTGTCCCTTTAAGAGAGAGCGGTGTGGCTTGTGCATGTGTGTTTGTGGATGGGAGAGCGACAGTGAGGGAACGTGTGTATGTTTCTGGAAGTGAAACGAGGAAGCAGAAAAACAGAGGTCTGTGATGTATTTTGTGAAACAGAAGAACAGCTAAATAAATGCAACGGCCTCCCGAGAAGAGCTCGCCTCTCTCCAGTCATTTAAGCTAAAGTGGGTTATTGAACCTGAAGCTTGTTGCTTCTGCCCTCCTCGACTACGGTCTGGGAGCCGACAGGAAAGTTCAACACACAGATGGCCAGTCCGCCCCTTTGTAGCATATTATTTCGATGAGAGATGAGCAGATCGCCACTGGGCTTTCAACTAAATACACAGCCACGCAAAAACTGCGGCATTTGTACAGCTCCTTACGGGTACTGCAATTAGTAGGGATGCTCCGATCGCCAATTTCGGGGCCGATCGCCGGAATCAGTATCGGCCGATACCGATCGCTGATCCGATCGAGTGGGCGGGGCCTAAATGGAAGATTTAAACATCACTTTAAATCTTCCATTTAAAGTGATGTTTAAAACTCAGTTAATGCTCATTCACTGGAGCTTCCACAAACAACAACCAACTTAATTATTACATTCAAATGATGTACATTATTCAAGTTTACATTCACTTTGGAGAATAACACGGGAGAAATTAGCGGAAGCGCTCTCTTTTCCTCTCTCTCTCTCCTGACAGCCTGTCAGTATCTCATGCAGCTCACTGATCCAGTAAGAGTGACCCGACAATGAAGAATAAATATATTTATAATAACTAGTTTAGCTTGTTCCAGAGGTAGATAAAATAGCTAAGTGTGTTAGGTCTAACTCTTACGGTACGTCCACACAGCAGCTTTTCAAAAATCTTGAAAATCTTGGAGCTGGGCGTGTCTGAAAGCTTGGGGATTTTTTGCGAGCAACGCGACCAACAACCAATCACATGAATCTCCCGCCCCGACATACAAAGCAAAAAGCCCCGGGGATTTTATGCGAGCAATATATATATATATATATATATATATATATATATATAAATATATATATATATAAATATATATATATATATATATATATAAATATATATATATATAAATATATATATATATATATAAATATATATATAAACTCCCCAAACAGGCGAAAACTTTCCAGTTTCACCCACTGTCTCTGCCACCTCCCTCCATGCCTGGTTCCTCCGGTTTGTATCCCGTTAATAGTTCTGGTCGTAAAGAACCGGGTGATTTGCTACTGTAATTTCTCGTTTGGAATATGAGGAAATGAACTGCGGTCTGGTTCTCCCTGTGTGTGTGTTTCGCTGCGCTTACCGGTCCGGCGGGCGGAGCTGCAGGATTTCTGCTTCACACACGTTGCATACCGCTATTTTACTGTCTTTTTCGGACACCTTAAAATAATGCCAGACCGGTGAAGCCATTTTGGCGAGCTTGTTTTGCCGCACACAGAGAAAAGTGTCATGTATTTTACGTCATGCGATCGGCTCTCGCGATCGGCATGTTTAGAGAGCACCGATCGATCGGTAGAGAGTGAGTATCGGCCGATATCGATCGGTGAACGATCGATAGGAGCATCCCTAGCAATTAGGCTATTAGTGCTTTCCTCCGTGGTGAAACGATCCGCACCACGGAGGAAAGCGGCAGAAAGTCACCTGGATTTAAAGAGAGCGGGGCTGCGCTGCGTGCATGGCTTCCTTCTGCAGGTAACGGGGAGACGCGCTCTGGCGGCGGTCTCGTTCAGAATCCGAAAATACAATTTAAATATGTTGCACACTTATTCCTAGTGTGCCAATGGTTGCTGGTACGCGTGCCAGGGGTTGCCGACCCCTGATTTATAGAATAATAAGGATTCCATCATATTTTGCTGACTATAACCAAATATCTTAAAAGTTGATTTAAATAATCAACCATTCCCTTTTATCCCAGCTATGCATACATGCTCAGCTGCCTGTTCATTAGTTATACTCTTAAAAACAAGTGCATTCTAATACAATAGTCACACAAATAAATACTACTTTTATGTTTCTTTGAAGAGTATTGACTTGCGTTTGTTATTTAGCTACCCGTTTCATATGAATATAATAAGAACAGGGGAATGATCAATGCTTTACCTGATCATCATGTACTGAGAGAGAGCCAGGCAGGAAGCGGTGGTGAGCTGCGGGTGTGAGAATCGTCCCGGGGAGCTGCAGACCCTCACCAGCAGGGGAAGAAACTCACACAGCAGGTTCTCCTCTAAACACACAGAGAGGAAGAGGAGGGGGAGACGAGGCTTGAATAAATACATGGTGACATTATTAAAAAGCTATGAGACGACCTGGGCTTGATTCCACATAGTATAGTTGGAAAGAAAGATCTCCCATCTGTTTTTATCCTGATACTTGCAGGTTAAAAGGCCATCGCAAGTACTGGTTCAAAAGTAACACTCCTGGACTCGTTGTAGAATAAATGTATACTATGGAAAGACTGACCAACTGTTTAAGGATGGGCAAATGGCGACCTTGTAGTACTGATACCGTCCACTAGACTCCTAGTTACGTCGCGAGCTGCGTACATGATTTCGGCAGCCAAATACCGCAAAATAATCTGTGACGCGTTGGTGTTTCTTGTGAGTAAGAAACACCGGCTGTTGTTATGCCTGCTGTGACGTTACCGCTTGTAATTATGCCGTTGAAGCTACAAAGTTGTATTTATCATCTGAATTTGGCGAAACAAGTTTAATATTCTAAAAACCAAGACTTTGTTTATTTGAAATCAGATGAAAACAAACTGTCACGGACCCTGCCGTGTTATCTATGATTACTCTACGCTTTTCATTCATAATGTCAGCGGGAGGGAGGGGGAGCGGCGCTGAGGAACAGCGGAGTGCGGGTTGACATAGGGCTGTGCAATTAATCGTATTTTAATCGCGATTACGGCTTGCGACGATTATGAAAACAGCATAATTGACAAAATACGATTATTTTGCTGGGTGTGCTTTCGCCCCTCCCTAAAAGCCCACTCGGCCACGTGGGAGTGACATGTGTTGTGAGTGTTCAGCGCGAGCGAAAATGTCAGCACACTCGTGAAAAAGAAGGGTAAAACGATTTCCACTATTTGGAAGTACTTTGGCTTTCAGGAGTCCGACGTGGAGCAAAACAAAGTACAGTGCAGGATTTGTTACCAGGTTGTGTTGGCACCACACGCTAACACAACCAATCTCTTTAATCATCTGAAATACAACCACAAAGTGCAATACGACCGGGCAATAATACAACAAAAAGCAGATGCCCGCTCGACTTCATCCACCACATCATCACAGTCATCGATTCAGGACGCATTGTACAGAGCGACGGCCTACGCGACGAGCTCGCAGAGACACAGAGATATTACAGGTGCCATTACATTTCACATCGCTAAAGATATGAGCCCAGTTAGCACTGTTAGCAACCAGGGCTTTAAGCAACTTGTCAACACCAAGCCCCCAGGAAGTGCGCCGGAGTCTGATGAGAATATTCGTTGTGGCTAAACGGCGGTACTACACTTCCTTTAGGTTGCTGGGCCCGGAAACACTTTTTCCCATTGACTTACATTGAGAAAGAGTGGTCTGTAACTCGTTGGATAATTTTTTTTAAACTAAATAAACTACCCAGTATGAACGTTTGTATAGCCCTTATTAAAAACATTCGTTCCTCAAGTTGTAAAAATGTGCTAATAACGTTATTCTGAGAGTTATTTCCCTCGGCATTATGAACGCGCATCTAACCCACGGGACCGCGCCCCCCTGCACGTTCATGTTACGGGTTCAGTACTACATGAGTTTCTCTTTACCCATGGATGCACAATAACAACGGACCATATCGCCTTACTGCCAGCCCACGGAGCTGTAATAATGATATATTGCACATGTTTGCTGTAATTCATCATTTGTAAAATATTATACTCCATGGGCTGTATGATTAAATCTTGTACCGTAAATGTTGTATTAAATAAAGTTAATATTACCGACGTTAGATTAACGTCCCTGTAGCTTATTATTGCACTAAGAAGCTTATTGCACTGTGTGTGTATATATATATATATATATATATAGTGCAATAATTCTTTCATGCTAAATGAAGCTCTGTTGGATATCACTAGATCCTGTTACAGCGTAATATAAGTACATAACGATTGATGTGTATATTAGCATAATTACTAGCTAGCTGCTAACTGCCGCCTCGTTAATATCAAATCCATCATAATAACAACCATTACCATGCTGTCATGAACGCACGGTGCTGTTACGTGTACGCAAATTGACGTGCTTGATGTGAATGAGCATTTTGGTTAAAGTTGCGCATGCTCTATGAGTGCACATACGGGTACTTCTCAGGCACGCCGGGTAATCTGTGACGTTTCACTCTCTCAAAAGTTGGGCCATTTTATCATCATGCGCTAATGAGCAACTCTCATAGGAATGAATGAGGCCCCGCCTCCCACGCTGTATCCAGTTCTTATTATACATCCATGGTCAACACGTTGGTCAACACGTTGGACAAGCGTTACGCGATGCCGTCTCGGTATTATTTCAGCAGGTCTGCGCTGCCTGCGCTATATGACAAATGCCGTGGGGAAGTTGAGAGAGATGTGGCTTCAGCTGACTACTTTGCGACCACAACGGACCTATGGTCTAGCCCAGGCGTGCCCAACCAGTCGATCGCGAGATGTGTCTAAAAATAGAACAACAATATTCTGTTTTATCGTTAATGTCCTGTAACATAATCTTCCTGTGCCAGAATAATGCACTTGAACGCATCAAAGCTTTGTGATTGGCCGGCGTAAACCCATGTGTCGGGAGTGGCTGGTGGGCAGTGGGCTGACGTTGTCCGTGTCAACAGGAGTGACAGTCCGCACACACAAGACCGCAATTATGGCAGAAGCAATGAAGCCCAAAATATATAATGTTCACTCCGAGTGGGAGGATCATTATTTTTGTATCTATTCCAATTCAAAGTCCATCTGTCTCATCTGCAATGCGAGCGTGGCTTTATCGAAGAAGGGCAATTTAGGAGCGGCATTTCAAAACAAAATAAATGGTCAATGAATAATCGTGAAAATAATCGTGATATCAATTATTGACCCAAATAATCGTGATTATGATTTTTGCCATAATCGCACAGCCCTAGGTTGACAGGTGTCTGTGTTGACATTCCCCTTATTGTGCGTCAGCAGAGACAGCTACAAGTGTCTTAGGTTCAAGTCAGATAACTAATGTCTGGGTTAGTGTTCATGACATCTCAATGCACACATTTTTCGTGCTTTCCAATAGTTTAAAATAGCTTTATTCCACTGCTAAATAACCTGTTCAATAGACTTTGTATATTTGTTAATAATTACATACAATACATGGAATTTGTGTGTGTGTGTATTCCAAGTGAATCTGCGGCCCCCTGGTGGCCAGTACATAAATGATGTGGCCCCCACCACCGTCCAAGTTGCCCATCCCTGTTCTAAGAACTAAAGCAGAGATCCTTAATCAATGCTGTGAAAAAATGGACTGTAAATGAGGAGTAGCGTTTCTTTTTTTCCAGTATCTATGCATTTGTGCGTGTTATGCATTTGTCAGATCAAAATCTTTTTATTGTGTTTCGAAAATGCATAATCGGTGTTTGTCATTAGGCGCGTTCACACCGCAGTACTTTTCCCACTTTAGTTCCGAAGTGTCGCGTTCACACCAAAAAGAGCAAGAACTAAAATGAGTTAATCAAAACCTTTTCACCCCCTTTTTCGTCCCTGCTAGAGAGCAGGGACTTTCGAGGGAGAAAAAGGTTCCTATGTCTGATTGGCTGGGAGGATTGCAGACCACGCCCCGTAAAACTCCCAAAAAGTTTGTGAAGCCGCCATTTTATTATCCTCGCATTAGCATTAGCCCAGCGCACAAACGCAGAGAGACTAACTTATGGCAACACAAAAGAAAACATGGGAGCGGTGGAGATGAGGAGGTGTCGGCGTTCTGGCGATTTACTCGGAAGGCTTCAGTAGAAGCTGCTGGGACTCCCAGCAGCTTCTACTGAAGCCAGTCCCCAACTCCGGGGACTTCCGGCCGGGGACTTCGGGTGGCAGTATACGCCGTGAAGTTGTTTGCGGCCTGCCAGTAAACCCAAAGCAGAAGAAGTGACGTCAGCGGCTTCATTTGCCTAATCCTTCCCCAGGAACGTATTCCGGTGTGAACGTGAACTGTACTCAGTTCATGAGAACTAAAGAGTTCTCATGAACCTTTGTGGGAAAAGTACTGCGGTGTGAATGCGCCTATTTAGAAATGGAAAGCAAAATATATGCATTCAAATGAGATGGTGGTTTTTACTGATTGTATGTACAACGAGAGCATTTTTAAAATAACGACTAAAGTAATCCCTTACATTCACTGCCAGTGAGCGTCGTACACACGATCATAGTTATCAGTTATAGTGTTATGCATCTGTCGATTGAAAAATTAACAGGGTATCTGCAGGAATCCTGAAGTCAAATGTAAGACCTTTGAAGACCTTTTTTAAGACCCTTTCCATACATGTTAAGACCTCATCGCCACTTTGAGTTTTAACCGGTTACCTTGGCGACACACTTCACCTCACATTGACTGTATACAGTATTGATTGTCCTTCCTCCTTATCTTCCAACCATTTGGACGCAGACTTGCATTTCCCCATAACGATGTTGTTCAACAACCGGCGTAAACGGACCTTGGCGCTATCAAGCAGTGAGCGTGCGATGTCCTGTTCAGATGACGTCAAATCCAACGGGATGCCATAAATAAACTACACAGAATCACACTACACACCTACGCCATGATTACATTCAGGCACACTGTAGAATACAACCTCTTTGGACGATTTATATACTTATTGAAAACAAGCTACAAAATGTCATACCTTGGAAAATGCGTTTAATACTTTTTAATAGCCTTAATTTTCGCTAAATTGATTTATCAACTTTTAATACTTTTTAAGACCCCGCGGACCCCCTGAAAGAGTTAAACAAATGAAATCGATGTGAAGAACCTAACGTGGAGGTTTTTATTACCTGCCAGTAATTCAGTCTCGCAGATCTTCCTGATGAGTTCAGCCTCGGTGTCTTCAGCAGAGGCTCCCAGCCCCAGCTCCTCCTCCATGGCGCTGTCATTGGCTGCTTGTTGCTGGAAAAACAGAAAACAGTCAATCACTTAAGATGGTTCTGATAGTATTCTCTTGGCTTTTGAATGACCGATTTTAATGTAATTGTATCTAGATGTGTTGCACTATATCTAAATGCTTTAGTGTTTTTTAAAAAAAAAGCACTTTTGATTGGCCTTGTGTTGAAATGTATATTAAAAAAACAGCCATTTCTCCATAATAACTTATTCCTAGAAATCTAGAAGGGAACTTTCTGACTTAAAGTATAGATGAGAGTAACACCTACGTCACTTCCGGGCGAAAATTACGGCCCCGACCACTTTTGGGGGAAAACAACGCCGTCATTTTGAATGGCGGTCAATACAAATCATGACGTTTTTGCCAATCCGCTCAGAAATGTAAGAAAACCGTGGATATGAGATCTTCAAAGAGCCCGATCACGAAGGACAGTCAGGCAAACAATTACATTAAATCATTGGAAATCGACGATCGGGCTCGATATATGGTTAAATTAAAATCAGTAGGCGAGGCTGTAATTTTCGCCGGCTCTCATGAACGAGGCAGAAAATAATAGTTTTATCATGCCAACAAGCTGCTGTGTCGTTTATTGCACCTCAAACATTAAAACAAATCCAGAGTTCAGTGTCTCTGTACTTCCTCTAAGAAGAAAGGACAGTAACAGAAGAGCTCTGTGGCTTCAGGCTCGATCGCCGTTCAAATGACAACGTTGGTTTCCCCCAAAAGTGGGCGGGGCTGTAAAGTGACATAGATGTTACTCTCATCTATGGACATCGATCGCCAACTGCTATATTTATATATATCGAGCCCGATTTCAAATTATTTAATGTAAATGTTTGCCTGTCTGGCCATCGTAACCGGGCTCTTTGAAGATCCACAAATCCACGGTTTTCTTACATTTCTGATCATGTATACTCCAATGATGGTGCAATCATTCAAAGAAATTGCACTGCTAAAAGATTCCCATAGTGACACTTCAACCTTGAAAACAATGCCATTACAATTTGGCTCCAAAAGATACTGATTTCACAGAAGAAATATATCAAAACACCAATGGAAACTCATTTCATATCCCCCATGCTGTTTTTTCAGATTAACACTGAGAACATTGAACACCATGTGGCAGTGACAAATGATTTGCCATCCGTTTCTCTTTTGATTATGATCTAGAATAATTTACAAAAATGTGTAATGCTAATTAGGGATGTTTATTTTCCTGTTCCCTGATGTGCTGAACAGTTATGAGCCATCACTCATCTGACTGTCACTCAAATTCACCTCGTCTAAAAACCCTGCTGAGACTCAGGATTGTCTTCATGATTTTTGCCGCTGTTTTTGCTTCACTGTTCATTTACAGAAGCACTTTTTAATAATCAAGTATAAACTGAAATTAGACTCAAACTGACTGTTGATTAACAGATTCATTGTTTTGACTATAAAATGTCATAAAATTGTGAAAAGCAGCCATCAAAACCCGGCAGAGCCCAACGTGACATACAATTATATTGTTTCTTTTATCCAGGCCATATCTTTAATTAGTTTAGACATGACTTATTGAAGCTAAATTGGGTTTATTTTTTGTTACAGCAGCATGTTAATATGGCATTGCACATGAACTTAAAATTATAAATAAACATGAACTATATTGATAACAGTATGGAATATATACATCTATAGATTAAATACACAAAGAAATAAGACGCATTGAAAAAGAAGCTGGAATCATTTAACATTTGGGTATTTGTTAGACGCAAATGGTTATTAATTAACAAAACACTGAGCTAATTTTCTTTTAATCAACTAATCACCTTAATACCGTTTTTCTTATTGCAGTGCTCGACATTCACACATTAAAATTGATGAACACTCAATCAAGTGACATGCAACTAAAAATGTATTGTGAATAATAATCACAATCTTATCTCCACTTAAAGGTGGGGTAAGTTTGAGAAACCGGCTCGAGATACACTTGTTATATTCCATGGAATGATCTTAACATCCCGATAGCAATGAATATCTGAAGTGCTTTGACAATAAAAAAATGCATCTGTGGAAGCCGTGGCGCTGTAAAAAGCACGACCAATCTTCTGAGCCGGCCCGGCTAAAGTAACTGGATGGCCTACCTGCCTGTCAGCCTTCCATCTGTGCACAAACTTATCTCGTGCCCTCATTGGTCATGTGCGCGTTCGTGTGTGTTGGAGGAGGGGCTCTGTGAGGAAGTGGCAGATTTATTCCGGCTGTGTATTTTCAAATTCTAGCGCACTCGAGCTGGTTTCTCTAAAATTACCAACCCCACCTTTAAAGTACCAATTAACTCCAAGGGAATTGTCCTTGAATGACTGTTGGTGCTGAAAAGGTGCTGAACATAAGTCAAGTGTTTAACTCGGCCTCATTACCTTGGCTTTGCTGGAGGGGCCCTTCTCTTTTTCCGCCCTCTCCTCCGTCTCTCGCCTCCTCCTCCTCAGCTCGGTGCTCACGCTACGCTCCAGGTGAGACACCTGCCAGAACGCCACGCAGCCACACAGAGCCAGCAGCTGCGCCAGACACACACAGTTCACTGCAGGACACACACAAGTTTGTTTTAAGAGCGTGCTGGACAGGTTAGACCAGGTCAATAGGTGTGTTTCCATTAGAGCTGCACCAGATAGTTTTATGCTTTTTTATTACGTTTTAATGCATATCATGATTCTATTTGAGGCCAGTATTTCTCTACAGTTGTATATATTCAAAATTAACTAAAAACGGTTAGCTCTCCGTACTACAATACACATTTCATTTAGTTTAACATCAATAAAGTAAAAAGACATTTGATACATTTGGCACAGCGCGACTCACCTTGCTCATTGGACTCTTGCGTTACGTCCTGATTCTGGCTAGCTTCCTTGTGGAGTTCGCCACCCTCTGCAATCTGATCCAGTAAGAGGCGAGCGCAGCGCTGCAGCAGCCGGGAGCACAGCTGGTCCGGAGACTCAGCCAGGAAGTAGAGGAGACGCACCGCCTGCTCCATGAAGCTCTGCCAATGAGGGTCCTCCATCACCACACCTGCAAACAACAACAGAGAGCAGTGGAAACAGGAGAGAGCGGAGAAAACGGAGGTGCAGGCTAAGAAAGAAACATATGCTTCAACAAAAGGCATATTGGTTTGCATTTACCTTCAGCGATGGCCTGTGTGAGGCAGGTGAAGAGCTGGTGGTCCTGAGGCAGTCTGAATGGAGCACTTTTTGATTGCTGGATCACATTTTTTAAAAAGGGTAGAAAATGTTAACAGTTTTTAAGCCCTCTACGTGTCTTTTTGCATTATAGCAGCTAAAGTGTGAAGCTAAAGACAATGACTTTTAACCGTCAATTTGTATTCAGTTTATCTTTGAGACCAAGTGAATAAAAAAAATATGTCATTTAGGCATTCCTGAAATATCTTACGAGAATAAAATTGCAATGCGTGTATACTATTGTTTTACAGCCAAGTTATCTGAAACCCAAAGTAGTAATCATCATTTCTAGAGCTGATTGAAATGTGTCTTAATGTTTATTTAAAGAAATCTAACAAATAATGTTGTCCATAACTAACATGTATATTTGTACTTATCAAAAGAGACTATGACTGAATGTGGCTCTCTTAACCCTTAGATGCATAAGTGGGTCTTTTTTGACTCGGTGAGGTGGTTTTCTTGAAGTATCTTTGTAATTACAAATTTTGTATCATTTCATATTCCAGCTATTCCTCAAAAAACATGTTTTGGATATCATGCCATTCACATTTCAAATTTAAATGTTATACATTTTAAGAAATTGTAGTTTTTGTATTACTACCCCAAGCTTCCATAAGTGGTTACTATGGGAACCTTTGATTCTTATCACCTGTTGCTGTCAGGAATACATTCACTGTAGGACACAGACTACATCACTAGTGACACCTCTCAGGAAGATTATTTTACACAGCAAGATCTGAAACCTGTCAGTATCATCATAATAATAATAATACATTATATTTGTTTAGGGCTTTTCAAGGACTCAAAATCGCTTTACAATATAAGGGAAGGTTAGGGTGGGGGGTATAGGACTATCAAACTTGATCAACCGGCATGGATTGATGGGGGGGGGGGGGGGGCTACGAGTAGACAAGAGGAGAAGAGATGAGTTTTGAAAAGGGACTGGAATAATGTGAGGGTCTCAGAATAGCGGAGATCTTTGCATCGATATGTTAAAAACTTTTTTTCAACATGTAAAACAAATGTCTAAAATTATAAATAGTGAAAAATTAAATATAAAATATTTCTAGTGTGAACCAAAATATAATACTAAATATTATGCACGTGATTTTTCTTAACCAAAATGACAAATGGCATAAAAACACACATTCTAATACGGGTCCTTTTTGACCCACTTATGGAAGAGTGTAGGGTCCAGTCACTCTAAGTAAGGGTTAAGGAGTCAGTGGGGATTTATGTCTTCTTACCCTGATGTGGTCAGTGATGCTGCTGATGGTGAGAACTGAGTCTCTGGCCAGAAGAAAGTCTTCAGTCACTTTCTCTCCCAGAGCCACCGAACAGAGAGTGTCCAGGTTACTGAGGACGACCTCCCTCTCTGCCCTGTTGGAGTAACATGTAGACGTTTTTACAAAGAAGTATGGATTTGATATTCCCATATGGTTAGTGCTTAGGCAAAGTGAGGTAATGACATCCCCGCCCTGCATCACCCAGCCGCTGCGTCAGATAATGCGTGTAGGAGGACGGGTTAGGAGAAGCACTATAAGATTTAAAAAGGTTGTGAATGCTGCGGCTGCTTGAAGAGGCAGCAGCGTGGGAGGACTGCTGATAGTCTCCCAACTCGCTCTTCCCTACAGCTGTGGCAGTCTTTGAGGGGGAACACTGAAATAAATATATATTCAGTGAAATGAACTGGCAGGGAGCCCAGTTATACGGTCGTGACTTCGAGTACAATGGAGAGGAGCCGAGGGTGAGCTTGTATTCTGACTAAAGAGAGGATTAGCTGAATGTCAAGCAGCTGAGGGCGGAGCGTGATGTGAAAGGAAGACTATGCAGTGAGGAATGTTCAAGATTTCACATCAAAACTGTTTATGAAAATCTGCACAATTAGTCACCTATAGCTTTTTCAGGTCCAGATGAAATCTGCATTTTAAAAATACAAGTGTCAACTTTTTATCAAAAGGATGTTAAAGTGTGTTTGCAAATGTAAGCAAAGATAGTTGAATTATTTAATTGGTTTCTTCTCTCATTTGAGGTAGGGTTGTCCACATTAAATCATTTTGACCGGTGATACATGTCACCTTTCATGTTCATTTAAAACTTGTGGCAAATAAAAGTTTTGTAGCCGTTTATGGCGCATTTCCACTGCAGGGCCTCGCACGGGTTAGGCCTTGGTAGGCCAGGCTCATGCTGCGTTTCCATTACAGTTTAATAGCTGAGGCAGTAACTATAGTAACGCAGTGTAGGCGTAGCCGTGACGTCATCTTCAATGCGAAACACAAAACCAACATCAGCCGTTAGCTCTTAGCACTCAGAGCTCACAGCTCCTCATATCTGTTCAGAAACTAGACAAAAGTTAAACAAGTTCAAACCACAGACTGTCTGTGTCATGGCGAATACAGTCGCTGGTTTATTTATGTCTGTAGGCCGTTGGTGTGAGTGTGGACGGTCGGAGCATATACTGCGTTAGCTTAGCCGATCTCCATTCAGAAAACACGCATTTTAAAAAGGGTTTTTCGCCTGCCGTCTGTCTGCAGACTTGTTAAAGCATTAATTCATGGTTTTTACTAACCTGTATCAGTATGTTGTTACTTCGGCATCATTTTGAAATGTGCATTACAATTAAATCACGGTCAAATATGTTCATCTTGTTGTAGTTAGTTGCCAGCGATTCTCTCACTAGTTTAGCATACTCAGCCCGGTTGTTGGCCCGGAAAGAACCTGGATTTTGGAGAGCCAGAAAAACTGTGAAAAAGTACCCGCTAGCCGGAACTACCCCGAGTGGAAACGCAACCAACAACGAGCCAGGTTTGGCACGGCACACCAACAGTGGAAATGCGCCATTAGACAGGTGACACCAGAGTGCGTGTTGCTCTAACAGCAAATTCAAGATTAGAAAAGAAAGCATGCAAATGAGTATTGAAACTAGATACAATGCTTCATCTGATTGCCCATCACAGAGGAACATATTTTGACAGCGTTCAGTGAAAATCATAATGAGAATCTAATTACATTTCACAGGCAGCCACATTTAAAAGCAATTTACTCTGTCATCAGTGAGGACAGCTCAGTGTTGCAGAAACATCACGACTCAGTATGAAATCTGACAAACACCTCAGCAGAGCTCCCGTTAAATCTGTCGTCAACACACCTCTCTCCCTTGTCATAAATATATGCTCATGCAAACCCTACCTTAACACAAGCAGAGTATTTTGTGTTGACTTATTCTAAATTGGACATTAAAAACAGGCTGTAGAGCATCATGTATAATTATCCCCACCAACACAACGCACCTTTAAACATGTGAACTGAGATCAAATCACAACATGGAGGAGAACGCTGAAATTGGATTGCTCAGCGAACAAAATGTATAGTTTTTAGACTGCGAGTGTAAATATGCACATTGACATTGAATTTTATCTCGTCGCACGGTCATCGCTACTACCTCTGCTTTTACCGCTCTTATTTATTCGTGTCTATTTTTGACTGCAGTATGATGTATGATGACAATAAAGATATTCTCATTCTACTCTTCTAAACCGCAAATGCATTATGAGCAAAGCGATTTCATATGGTTTTTGTTAAACAGAAAACAAAAATGCAGATGTGAGTAGTAGTAGTAGTAGTAGTAGTGACCACAACTTCTCACGTCACTCTACAGTCAGAGAGGCTGCAGTCGAATAGTCCAAAAATCTGCCCCCATCGTCTATCCCTTGACTTCTGGGTGAAACGTCACAGGGTTAAGGGAGTGGTTCCCAAACTTTTTCAGTCGGGACCCCCTTGGGTATTGGAAATATTTTTCGGGACCCCCCAACCCGGTTCCCATCTATATTGGTAGGATTAATTGTATATTGTTGTAAAAACATTACATTTTCTCTGCTGATAATAAGAAGATACAAAGATCCACCTATACTTTTATTATGGATTACACATGAACAAAAGTGCTTGTAATAGATACTGTGAATTAATTTGGCCTAATTAAAACTGGTTGGCCTTCTTCCCTGAGTAGTAGATTTTTAAATTCAAATTTCTTTAAGGAAAATATATGAATTAACTACTATTTCTACTGCAGGTTGCAAACGATCACATCACTTTACCATTCCTATTCCACACGAGCTCATCAATGACTTGTGCTTGCTTTCCCTTGCAGATCTTCTCAAACCGGGGCTGTTGTTTTGAGACTGCCACTCTCAGTTCATTCTCAATGTTCAGCTTTGATCTGTATTTGGTTTTGATGGCAGCAACAGCAGCAAAAGCCTATTCACACAAGTAATGTTGCAAAAGGCAGCATTATGCCCACAGCTCTGACCAATATCGAGCAGTGTTTGTTTACAATTGAATAATAATACATTTGATTTATATAGGTGCACTTTAAAAACCACGTCATCTCAAGGTGCTTCACAAAGCTAAAAGGAGAATAACATTTAAAAAATCTTCCCGCGACACCCCCCCGCGCTTTTACAGGTGCTCAAAGACACTTTACAGATATAGTGAAGGGAAAAGGAAGGAACAACAAATAAATATATAGTGAGTGTTTTGAAGGTGGTGAGGTCAGTGCAGTCTGATGGGTTGTGGGAGTGAGTTCCAGAGGGAGGGCACAGCGACGGAGAAGGCTCTGTCCCCCCCAGGTCCGGTGATTGGTGCGGGTGGGGATGGATAGGAGGTTGGCTTCTGATGAGCGGAGGCAGCGGGAAGGGGCGTGGTGGTGCAGCAGGTCTGTGAGGTAGGGAGGGGGCCTGATTGTTGAGGGCTTTGTGAGTAATGAGGAGGACTTTGAAGTTGATTCTTTGACGGAAGGGGAGCGAGTGGTGGTTCTGGAGGACGGGAGTGATGTGGTCTCGGGAGCGGGTGTGGGTGAGGAGGCGGGCAGCAGAGTTCTGGATATGTTGGAGTTTATTGATTAGGTTGGATGGTATGCCGTAGAACAGGGGTGGGGAACCTCCGGCCTCCGGGCCGTATGCGGCCCGCGAGACAATTTGGTACGGCCCTCGAGGTAATTTATAAATACACGCAAAAAAGAAAATGTAAGAAATCTAGACCGCAAAAAAATTAAACAAGCGAGGGCCTGTTTTTCCTGGCCACGGTCAGGGTCCTTGAACACAACACGAGCCTAACGTGTCATCACGTGGTGTATGTCTCAACCATAGACTCGACTGACAGGGGCAGTTCTGACGGAGTGCACCAGAACGCGGCTCCGGCACTTCAGAAATGTCAGTACCCATAAGGAGCCGTACACATGCCGCAGTTTCTGCGTGGCTGTGTCTTAGTTGAAAGCCCAGTGGCGATCTGCTCATCTGTCATACTGATCATACAGTCAATAACTTTGTTGTTATTAGCATCTGGTTAGCTAGCTATGCTAACGAATATAAGAAGCTTTTTCTCCAACCAGTGAGGTAAAGGCACATCTTTATATGATAATTATAAAAAAATAAGAGAATAAAGTAAACGGGTATAAAATACTATATGACAGTAAAAAAAAAGTTGTTATTAATAAAGAAGAATACAGTTTGAAAGGAGTGTGATTTTTAAAATATTCATAAAGAAAAATAAATCTGCTTACAGTTCTGTTTCATCTGGGTGTTGAGAGATGTTTCCATAGATCTCTTCATGTTGCTCTCAAAGTGCACCAGATTGATGCTTTTAACTTCAACATTTAAAAAAAAATCTTCCCGGGGGAACATGCCCCCGGACCCCCCTAGAGGAGGTTAAGTCTCCCCCCCACTTAAATCATGTTCACATGGATAGGAAACTAAATACATTTGCACACATCTTGTGTCCATATCTTTCTGTTTTGGTGGTCACGCCACACCGTGCACGTGCATGCATGCGCGAGTCATGGTGAGATATCTGGATTAAGAGGTTGCTTTTTCTTTGCACAGAATGAAATGAATGGGCTGTGATTTTAGTTTTTTTTAAGCAGAGGTCAATAATTTGTACGGCCCTCTGAGGATATTGTAAAAATTGAAATGGCCCTTGAGAGGAAAAAGGTTCCCCACCCCTGCCGTAGAGGATGCCATTGCAGTAGTCGAGTCGTGAAGTGATGAATGCATGAATCAGGGTTTCAGCAGCAGAGGAGGAGAGTGATGGGCGGAGACGGGCAATGTTTTTGAGGTGGAAAAAGGCGGTCCTGGTGATGTGATTTATGTGGTGGTTGAATTTGAGCTGACTGTCGAAGATGACTCCGAGGTTGCGGATGTGAGGGAGGGAGATAGAGTGTGGCTGTTAATGGTGAAGTTGAAATTCTGGATGTCTTTGATACGGGATGGGGGGCCGATGATGATGATGTCTGATTTGGCACTGTTCAGGTGGAGATAGTTTGTTTGCATCCATGCTTTTATTTCTGAGAGACAGTTGGTGAGAGTGGAGTGTGTTGTGGGGGTGATGGTTTTTGTTGAGATATAAAGTTGGATGTCATCGGCGTAGCAGTGAAATTGAAGGTTGTGGCGACGAATTATTTTGCCAAGGGGGAGCATGTAGAGGATGAAGAGGAGGGGGCCAAGCACTGAACCCTGGGGGACGCTTTGGGACAGAGGAGCAGTGGAGGAGGTGCAGTTGTTGATGTTGATAAACTGATGTCTGTCGGTGAGGTAGGATTTCAGCCAGGAGAGTGCAGTGTCAGTGATGTTGAGTGATGATTCGAGGAGGGACAGCAGGATGGCGTGGTTGATGGTGTCGAATGCTGCGGTGAGGTCGAGGAGGATGAGGATGTTAAGGTTGCCGGAGTCAGAGGAGAGGAGGAGGTCGTTTGTGATTTTGAGAAGAGCTGTTTCGGTGCTGTGTTTTGATCGGAAACCGGATTGAAATGGCTCAAAGAGATCATTGGAGCTGAGGTGGGTTTTAAGTTGTGAGGCAACGACACGTTCAAGTATTTTTTGACAGAAAGGGGAGATTTGAGATGGGCCGGAAGTTGGACATGATGTCAGGTGTGAGTCCAGGTCTTTTGAGAATGGGTGTGACAGCAGCCAGTTTGAGAGAGGGGGGAACTGATCCAGATCTGAGGGAGGAGTTAATGATGGTGGCGATGAGTTGGGAGATGGCAGGGAGGCTCTCTTTAACAAATTTGGAGGGCATTGGGTCAAGTGTGCAGGTGGAGTTAATTCCAGTCATGAAGTCGGACAGTTGCATGGGGGTCACAGGGGAGAAGTGGGACAGGGGCTGTGAGGTGAAGGGGGGGGAGCCAGGAGGGGAGGTGGGGGGTGCTGATGAGGGTGTCAGATTGCTGTAAATGTTGCTGATTTTGGTTTGGAAAAACAAGAGGAAGGAGTTGCACTGTTCGGTGGTGAAGGATGAGGTGGCGTTGTCACAGGGTTTGAGAAGTTTGCTGATGGTGGAGAACAGACGCTTGGGGTTGCTGGAGCCAGACTGAATGAGTTGCGAGTAGTAATTAGACCGGGTTGCTTTGAGTGCGTTACTGTACTGCTGGAGATAGTCTTTGTAGATTTGAAGATGGACTGTTAGTGTGGTTTTCTTGTGTTGGCGTTCAAGTTGACGTTTCCCTGATTTCATTTGGCGGAGTTCGGGTATACCAGGGGGCGGAGTGTATGAAAGAGACATTTTTTGTTTTTGTGGGGGCCAGTTCATTGAGACAGAAGGAGAGGGTGCTGTTATAATAGTCCACAAGTTCAGATGGGTTTTCAGAAAGTTGGGGGACAGACATCTTGCAGGTAATGGAGGCAGTGATTGCTGAAGGTGAGATGGATTTGAGATTTCTGTAGGTTATTGTGCGTTTTTGCTTTTGGGCGGGGATGGGGATGTTGATGTCCATGATGATGGCCAGGTGATCAGAGATGTGGAGATTGAGGCTGGACAGATGATGGATGGTGAGACCAGTGGAGCAGACCAAGTCCAGGATGTGACCACGGCTGTGTGTTGGGAAGTTGATGTGTTGAGAGAAGTTGCAGCAGTGAAGGGTTTCCTTAAATTCAGAGGCATATTTGCAGGTCGGGTCGTCAACATGAATGTTAAAATCACCTAAGAGGAGAACAGATGGGGATATGGCAGAAAGCTGAGTGAGAATGTCAGAGAGGTCGGAGAGAAAGGAGGGGTTTGGCTTCGGGGGACGGTAGATGATGGCTGTGACCAGGGGAGTGGGACCAGAGAGTTTAAAGATCAGGTGTTCAAATGAAGAAACATCAGGGATGGGGATTATGGTAGCTTTTATTTCCTTTCTGATAATAGCAGCTATACCACCACCCCGCCCTTGTGGGCGACATTTGTCAATGTATGTGAATCCTGCTGGGGTGATTTGATTTAAAGAAAAATAGTCCAGGGGTTTTTGCCATGTTTCGGTCAGATACAGAAAGTCCAGGTTATTGTCTTTAATGAATTCATTTAGAATGTGGCTTTTATTGTGGATGGAGCGTGTGTTGAGCAGGGCTGCTCTGAGGTGACGTTGCATGGGGGGGGGGGGGGGGGGGGGTGGACCGGGGTAGTGGAAGGCGATTGGTCAGATTCACGTGTTGTTTGTTGTGATGGCGTAGTGTGGGCGTGTGACAGGACCGAATGGACGGGATGGAGTGTGGAGACGTGGAATGAAATAAAAACTCTATATATAAGAAGGAGGGACTACTGTAAACTCATCTAGAGACTCTGCATCGTGCTCTGATGCTGTTGCTTTATGAACGTGGACAACAGAGAAACATATTCTTCATGACCAAAGTTGGAATTGAAATAAAAAAGGAAAGTGAAACTTATGCTCTTCACCCTCTCCCTCCGGTCCACATTAATACAAATGATCCCAATACGTATGATTGTATAGCAAAGACTGACTTTATTTGATCATTTCAGTGAAAACTTAAAATGCTTAATAAGCACCGTAACTTTCATGATATAATTTCTCAGTCATAATCGGTTGTTTCCGTGAACGGCCGACTGTTGAGTGACGGCAATAGCTGCGGCCGCAAAGCATTGTGGGGCCGGGCCAGCATTTTCTCCTCTCCTCCTCCTTTCTGTTAGGGAGGTCCAGTGGTTCCTAAGCTAAAGGAGGTTATAAAGGAAGTTTGAAACCTCCTTTCTTCTAGAGAATTCGAACGGCACTTATCATGGCTGCCACTGAGGTACTTCTGGGTCATTTCACTCCGTTAGGAAGGTTCCTAAGAGAAACTGACAATTCGACTGCACCCTGAGTGTCTTTGGACTCCATTAGATCATTTTCTACCAAGAAAAGTGAATTTCTTACCGTGCAGCCATCCCCAGCAGCAACACAGCAGCTCGTCTGTGTAATCCAGAAGTCTCTCGTTTGCCAGTGAACCTTTCCCACAACACCTGCACCACCGTGGACTGGAGAAGGCTGCCACTGCCAAAGAACTCCTGCACCTGAAGAAGCCGCCAGAAAAGTGTGAGGATGGTGACAAATCATGTTTTATTATAAGATAAATAAAATCCAACATACAATGGACATTGAGCCGTTTCATTGCATGTCTATTCATCGTGTTTGAACCCTATATTTCTGCAAGGTTGCCGATAACGCGAAAGAATACTAGTTATACCACATGTAGAGTTAGATTCAAGGAGTTGCTGAATAGGAGTGTTGGTGATTTTGATTACACATCGCTCTGGAGATATTGAAAATGTCCAAAAGTCAACAATTGAAAAACTATAGATAGAATAATTTCCAAAATGTATAACATGTCTTTATTTAATCAAATATTCAGCTTTAAAACACATTTCTTGGCGTTTCAATAAAAGGTTTGCTCACCAACGGGAAAGAAAGCACTTTAACGGGACCGTCTGGCAATACCGTAAAACACATTTTTAGAACTTCATAGATCTTTTCACTACCTCTTTTAAATGGGGGGTGACTCACGATGAAAGACATTTAAAGCTGTATTCAAAAACGTCAACAAAAGCTTTTAAATAAAAAACATAATTTGTTAAAAGCCCAAGAAGAGGCCATACATCAGTGATCACCAACTGGCGGCCCGCGGGCCACATCCGGCCCGCCAGACATTCTCATCCGGCCCGCATGACGGGGGTGACTGTGGCGTTGGCGGAGTGGTTACTGCATTCGCCTCCCACCCATTTTTTTTTTTTTTTTTACAACGTCTCGTGAGTAAGGTGCAGTACCGGAGTCCAACAGAGAGGCAGCAGCTGCGGGTCAGTAGACTGCGTACTGCGAAACCTTCCCTGCCTTGAACAAGAATTGATCCTTCGTTGTGAAGAGTCTGCTTTGTGCGCTCCGCAGCACAGCAGTAGCCCCGCTGCGACAGAGTCCAACAGAGAGGCAGGAGCTGCGGGACAGTAGCCTAGAAGCAGGGTTGGGTTGTAACGGAATATATGTAACGGCGTTACGTAATCAGAATACAAAAATCAAGTAGGCTAACTGTATTCAGCTGGCGTTACATTTGAAAAACGAGTAATCTGATGACAGTTACTTTCGTAAACCTGAAGTGAATACATTTTGGAATACTTATTGGAATTATTGGTGGAAAAGTTTCCTCACAAAATGCACAGCGCTGCATGTCTGTGAGCGAGAGAGATGCAGAGTGTCTGTGAGGCCCCGCCCCCGCACGCAGATTAGAGAGAGATCTCTTTTAAAATATATTGAAAGTTAGAAACGGAGATGGTTCGATAAAATGTGCAAGATAACGTCTATGTAGAATTTCTTTATTGTCGAGATGATGACATTTCATAACGGGATCAAATCAAAGTGAATGGCCTGCTGCTGCTGAAGGCAGTTATTACATCGTTTCAGATAATAAATAATAATGATAATTCATTCTTTTTAGGGGCGCCTTTCAAAGCACCCAAGGACACCTTACAATTCATAACATATTCCAAGGAAAGGTTTTAAGACAGTACAAAGAATGCAGTCCGGGTAATGTTTTTTATGTGGGGTGCAGATGAGAGAGCTGTCCAGAATGACACCAAGATGTTGTGTTTGAGTTCTTGATAAGCCATTAAAACAGTAAAATAAGTGTCTCCTGTTCACCAAAACATACCCATCTGTTATGGAAAAAGAAAGTATTCCAAAAGTAATCTGAATACATTTTTAAGACACGTAACTGTATTCTGATTACTTTCAGAGCATGTATTCAGTAACTGATTACATTTACAAAGTAACCCTCCCAACCCTGCCTAGAAGTGATCCTTCGTTAGCGTGAAGAGTCTGCTAAGCTTTATGTGGTCCGCACCTGAGCGTGCTCCACTAGCACCCCCCCCCCCCCCCACTTCAAAATTCTGGGCTATATAAAAATCGCTGGCCCGCGATAGTGTCTATTGGATACATTTTGGCCCTTGGACAAATGTAGTTGGTGATCCCTGCCATACATACTAGAGCTGAACGATTAATCGATTTGAAATGATGCAATTATTTTTTCTTTGTTCTTCTTGTGTGTCAGTCATCCACACCAACCAGAAGTGCTGTGCTCCACATGTACCAGCCATTGTTAACCAATCAGAAGTAGCCCATGATAGAAGATGATAGACAGATTGATCCAATCACCTGCCAAGTGCTTTTGAAAGTGCCTGCCCTTTCCAAATGGCTTCCAATGGAGCTTTCCTAGATGGTTTCTGAGTCAGGTTAGTAATGCTCCATCACGTGTTTCTATTACAGGGTGAATCTTAAACTGAAGCTTGACTTTAAAGCAACCCAACGGAAGTTTCATGTAAGTTTAGTTCTTTCACTCGTAGCTCGGGCTGCTAGAGACGGGAGCACGTTGGTACGACCTTCCTAGCCGGAGATATGGCCGCATTTTACAATAAACCTCCGTTGGGTCGCTTAAAAACAAATATCGCAAATCGAAACGAAATATCTGTCAGAAAAATCGCAATTAGATTATTTCCCCAAATCGTGCAGCCCTAATACGCACACAGATAACTAGAGTTTATCGCTAGTACGATGTCTCTCATTGTTCGTTTCTAATAATTGAGCGTCCTAGAAAGAAATAACACATAAAGATAACAAAAGTTTAACTCACTATTTCCTTCAGGGCAAGAATAAGCTTTTGTGTTCCAACTAGTTGAGCAGTAGACAATAGGTCCACATTAAATCATGTTCTTCGGACAGTTGAACAGTAACATATTAGATTCAGGGCAATAATAAGCTTTTGTGTTAGAACTATTTGAGCAACTTCAACATAAAGACATTACTTTTGTGTCCTAAACTCTGCCCTCAGATTACCAAAGATGCAACTCACTGCTGACTGAAGGTCTGAGAGAGCTGGGTGACCTCCTTGCCTCCTACACACACACACACCACACACAGACAAACAACCACTCCCACTGTCAGCATCCTCCCTGTGAATACTCCTCTGACTTTAGAGGAATCATTTGGGTTGAGCTGGGTCACTGTAGGCAGGCCCTTACAGCAGAGCAGGAACGTTTCTCTGCACTGCCAAGATTACCTGCCGGTCGAGGCAAAGAGGAACCCAGCTCTCATTCAGTCAGCTCGTATTCGCCTTGGTCTCATCACTGGGCAACATGTCAACCGGAGAGGCAGAAATGTACCTTTGGTTGGATGCAACGGGAAATTTCTCTGAAGAATTACAGAGTTGGTGGGTTTCGGCTGCATAAATAAGGCAGTACGTTTTAAATAAGATTACTCATCAATTAGAGTTGATGCACTGTGGCAGTATAATCAAAACCTTGAGCAGTTTTTTCTCCTTTTAAAACAATAAAATCGCTGCTGAAGGTTAATCCAATGTGTCTGAAATGATTACTGATAATCCATCTTCATATTTATGTCAATAACGGAGATTTCATATTAGCTGCTACGAGACTGTATTACAGCTTCCGGTTCCGGGGCATTCTGGCTACTCATTCACCAACGGGTAATGTTTAGATGGATTTTTAGGAACTCCCCTCGATTCTATTGGCTCTGACGGTTAAAAAGAGGTGTCAATCAAAATCGCCCGATGGATTCCAGAGATATGGAAAATCCACCCAAATGACCCCAGAAGTGTTTTTTCCTTTTAAATCTCTAAAACAAAAAGGTCAAATGTCACTTATTTTGCATCAATCTTGATACAGGGTACTTATTATATGTATAGTTTGAATTCCTAAAGCATTTAGTCTACCCTCCCATCATTCAACGGTGGTTTTCACTATAAGTAATGGGTTGTTTTTGGACGGACACTATAATTTTTTTTTTTTTTTTTTTACTATGTTCAATCTGAATTTACTTTCAAATAAAAAAAATCTATATTGATTCCGACTTTTCTACTTCCAACTCACAGGTTTATCATTGCTTTGAGAAAAGAGATTATTAATTTACCCCTTTTAGAAGTGAAGATATGGTCATTTGTTCTGGGCATGTCCTTTTCGAGTCTGAAAAACAGGCTCGGGGCTCAACTGGTTAAGAGCCGCTTCATAGTTAATGCAAATTAAAACTTTGGCGGGTCTGAAATTGAGTGGATGCTGTAAGGTTCCTTTCGTGTGTGAACATATTACTTCAAGTTGTCGGTTTTTCTGAGAAGCAGAAGATGTTTTAGCACTCTACTATTGAAGAGAGCATGTATTGGAAAACATTTCTCTTTTGTCTCATGCCCGTTTACTTAATAGCACAAGCCAATTACATTACTCCAGAGTTTATCTCTAGTACAAAGATGTCTCGCATTGCTTCTTTTCAATAATTGAGGTTCCTAGAAAGAAATACCAGATATAAAAATAGCAAAAGCTGAACTCACTATTTCCTCCAGACACTGGATTGTTCCCAGAGAAGCATCGACCATCAGCTCAGAGAGGCTGTCGATCAGAGTGTGGGCTTTCACCCTGATGAAACAAGACAGTTACTTTAATAACGCAGCGCTAAACAAATCTATTTAAGTGTTTTAGGTTGCCTGCATTACAGTATTTGTCATTTTGAGCATGTACACAAAATGCACCATACTACATATTGAGGTTATATCCAGAGTTTCCCTTAGCCGGTATTAAATCATTACTGAGCTGCATGATACTGACGGGCTGTCAGGAGACGGAGAGAGGGCTCCGTTTATTATAAGTTACGGTATAATTTAGTTAATCTACTATAATTAGTTTGTTATTTATTGAGCTTTAAAACAAATTGATATGATTCGATATTAAACAAAGAGCTTTGACCGGCACTTTTCTCATTTTGTCCGGAAGATTCAAACTTTAACGGACATTTTTGACCAGCAAAAAAATATTCTAACGGAAACTCTGGTTATGTGTCGCATGTTCCGTTTTAGCCATGGTTCCTAACGTTAACCATTGCTGCTACCCTTAAGAGACAGTCATATTTATATTAAAATAAATGTACAATCGGCTGGAATCACATTATATTGTCAATGTTAGGGCGGTGCGAGGCAGCTTTACAGACCTGATGTTTTCTCCCTGAGGGTTCAGATACAGGCGCTTGTAGGCCTGAACGACAGCATCTTTAATGGCGGCGTCCGTGGACCAGACCAGAGGCAACATCTTCCTCACGCCACTCACCGAGTTGGCCACGCTGAACTCGCACACCGTCACACAAAACTGCACCGCCTCCAGGACCACTGAAACCAGAAACTACAGCTGTCAAATGGGATTCTTTACTGAAAAATCACGTTAAATCCTGTTCTTCGGACAGTTGAACAAGAGCATTTTAGTTTCAGGGCAAGAATAAGCTTTTGTGTTAGAACTATTTGAGCAACTTCAACATAAAGACATTACTTTTGTGTCCTAAACTCTGCCCTCAGATTACCAAAGATGCAACTCACTGCTGACTGAAGGTCTGAGAGAGCTGGGTGACCTCCTTGCCTCCTACACACACACCACACAGACAAACAACCACTCCCACTGTCAGCATCCTCCCTGTGAATACTCCTCTGACTTTAGAGGAATCATTTAGGTTGAGCTGGGTCACTGTAGGCAGGCCCTTACAGCAGAGCAGGAACGTTTCTCTGCACTGCCAAGATTACCTGCCGGTCGAGGCAAAGAGGAACCCAGCTCTCATTCAGTCAGCTCGTATTCGCCTTGGTCTCATCACTGGGCAACATGTCAATATATTTCGTCTCATGCCTGTTTGATGTGCGTTTACTTAATAGCACAAGCCAATAACAACTGTCAAATGTGATTCTTTACTGAAAAATGAAGTTTGCCCTTTGATGAATATTGCATTGTACCATAAGTGGTTTTCAAGTAGAGCATGGTGTTGATGACGGCTATCGCTCTCTCCACCAGTAGGGCGAAGGTTTCCGTGTCTTTCAGGTACTGCACCAACATCTGCTGCTTCTTCAGCTCCCCCTCCTCCCCCTCCTCCTTCTGAGGGGTTGGTGGTAAATTCTGGCTGAGCTCAGAGGCGTCCTCATCAGAGCCTGAGGAGAACATCAGAGAGAATATAAATGTGTAATTCAATTAACTCGGTTCTCTTGACTGCGAGGCGTTTAGTGTGTAAGGCTTCCACTGAAGTCATTTAAATTAACAAGTTAAGCCCTGAGCCTGTTTTTCAGGTTTCAGGCTCGAAAAGGACATGCCCAGAACAAACCACCATATCTTCACTTCTAAAAAGGGGTACATTAATAATATTTGTTCTCAAAGTAATGATAAACCTGTGAGTTGGATGCAGAGAAGTCAGAACCAACATAGAATTTATTTATTTTTAAGTAAATTCAGATTGAACATGGTAAAAAAAAAAATGTAAATGAGTGTCCGTCCAAAAAAAACATGACTTCTAGTGAAAACCACCCTCGAATGATGGGATAGTAGACTAAAAGCTCTACACCATATAATAAGTACCCTGTATCAAGATTGATGCAAAACAAGTGAAATTTGACCTTTTTAGAGAGATTTAGCAAAAAAAAACACTTTTGGGGTCATTTGACCTATCTCTGGCCCCCCTTGGTCGATTTTGATGATTGACACCTCTTTCTAACCGTTAGAGCCAATAGAATCGATGGGAGGTTCCTAAAATCCACCTAAACATTACCCATTGGTGAATTAGTGCTGCACAGCCAGAAGGCCCAAAACTGGAAGCAGCTAATATGAAATCTCCGTTATTGACATAAATATGAAGATGGATTATCAGTAATCATTTCAGACACATTGGATTAACCTTCAGCAGCGATTTTATCGTTTTGATGCCATTGAACACAACTTTTGATCAGAAAACAGCAAAAGGTAAGACATATTTTCCGTTTTGGCTCTGTAAAGCTACGTTCTGTGATGTCTGGGTTTGCTTCCCCTGCCACGAGTTCTGATCGCTCGGTGATGATACTTATACCCCTAGAATCTGTGGAATCTCTTGTTTGTGCAGATCCGATAAGTAATAAGGTATCTCTACTAGTGTTGCACGATGTACCGATACTTGAAAGGTACCGCGATACCCTGGCGTTAAAAATGTTACGATTCCTCCGTTTCATTAGTATCGGTACTTTAAGAATGACGGGGGAAAGTACTCCGGTGAGAAAGCGCCGTTTAATAAGAGCCGTGTTTGTTCAGCGCTCTGCTTCCACTCCCTGCGCTGCAGCCGTGCCTGCAGTCCCTCCCCTCTCAAGCACGCTCTAAGTCCCTCCCCTCTCAAGCACGCTCTAAGTCCCTCCCCTCTCAAGCACGCTCTAAGTGCCCTCCCCTCTCAAGCACGCTCTAAGTCCCTCCCCTCTCACGCACGCTCTAAGTCCCTCCCCTCTCAAGCACGCTCTAAGTCCCTCCCCTCTCAAGCACGCTCTAAGTCCCTCCCCTCTCATGCACGCTCTAAGTCCCTCCCCTCTCAAGCACGCTCTAAGTCCCTCCCCTCTCAAGCACGCTCTAAGTCCCTCCCCTCTCAAGCACGCTCTAAGTCCCTCCCCTCTCAAGCACGCTCTAAGTGCCTCCCCTCTCAAGCACGCTCTAAGTCCCTCCCCTCTCATGCACGCTCTAAGTGCCTCCCCTCTCAAGCACGCTCTAAGTCCCTCCCCTCTCATGCACGCTCTAAGTCCCTCCCCTCTCAAGCACGCTCTAAGTCCCTCCCCTCTCATGCACGCTCTAAGTCCCTCCCTCTAAAACACGCTCTAAGTCCCTCCCCTCTCAAGCACGCTCTAAGTCCCGCCCCTCTCAAGCACGCTCTAAGTCCCTCCCCTCTCAAGCACGCTCTAAGTCCCGCCCCTCTCAAGCACGCTCTAAGTCCCTCCCCTCTCAAGCACGCTCTAAGTCCCTCCCCTCTCATGCACGCTCTAAGTCCCTCCCCTCTCATGCACGCTCTAAGTCCCTCCCCTCTCAAGCACGCTCTAAGTCCCTCCCCTCTCAAGCACGCTCTAAGTCCCTCCCCTCTCAAGCACGCTCTAAGTCCCTCCCCTCTCATGCACGCTCTAAGTCCCTCCCCTCTCATGCACGCTCTAAGTCCCTCCCCTCTCAAGCACGCTCTAAGTCCCTCCCCTCTCAAGCACGCTCTAAGTCCCGCCCCTCTCAAGCACGCTCTAAGTCCCTCCCCTCTCAAGCACGCTCTAAGTCCCGCCCCTCTCAAGCACGCTCTAAGTCCCTCCCCTCTCAAGCACGCTCTAAGTCCCGCCCCTCTCAAGCACGCTCTAAGTCCCGCCCCTCTCAAGCACGCTCTAAGTCCCTCCCCTCTCAAGCACGCTCTAAGTCCCTCCCCTCTCAAGCACGCTCTAAGTCCCTCCCCTCTCAAGCACGCTCTAAGTCCCTCCCCTCTCAAGCACGCTCTAAGTGCCTCCCCTCTCAAGCACGCTCCAAGTCCCTCCCCTCTCTCGTGCACTCGGCCACGCGCTAGCTGCCAAAGCATGTGAGAAGACGAGAAGCATGGCAGCAAGTGGGAGTGCAACTGCCGCTGCGCCTCGGCTTGTTGACAAAGACGCCAGAAGCGAAAAACTAAAAAGTTGTTTATAGATGATGCTTAATTAATTTAATACAAATTCGTGTCATTTATTTTATTTATTGTTCTCATTGTTTAAAAGTTTGTGTTATGGTTCTGGTGTGAAATAAAGCACAATAATTACATTTAAGACCGTTTCCCTTTTTTTAAGAAAAGTACCGAAAAAGAATCGGAATCGCAATTCTTGACTTGGTATCGAAACCTAAATGTTGGTCTCGTGACAACACTAATCTCTACCGTGAGTTCTGTGCTAAGTGCGTTAGCATCTTTCCGCTCAGGGCTAATTCAGAGCCTTTGTTATTACCCTTGTGTTTGGTTTAGCTAAAAATGGTTAATATTGTCCGATCGCAAAATCTTGGGGTTAACTGTATTCTCTTTTGAAAGAAATATAAAAAGCTACATTTGAAAAAGACAAGAGCGAAAGATAATGTGAGATGAATTTTGTTCAATTAAGAGGAAAGGCAAAGAAATTAATCTTAAATGTTTTCAATCTTGCGAGCATTAAGAGCGAGCACTTTGATAACCAACTCTGGGTAGAAATGCATTAGCGGAGTGCAGCGTTACCTTTGAATATTAGAGCCAGCGTGTCCATTAGTGTCTCAGTGGTGAGAGTGGACAGAGAGGCGAACATCTCAGATTCAGGGAAGCAGCTGTGGGCTTTTATACAGAGACGCACAGCATTTCTGCAGAAAGGGAAGACATTTACACCAATGACTTTCAATGATCAAAAGAATTACTCTTTCTCAGCGGTGCCACTGAAAATGGTTTATTTGAACATGGAACAGGAAAATAAGGTCTGCATATGAAACATGTCGAGCCTATCTAAAACAAATCTAATAGCAGGCTTGCTAGCTTCTACACGCTAAAGCAACTCAAATCTCTCACCAGCAAAAACACCTCGTCAGTTAAATGCCATTTTACGTTTCATTACTATATTTATTATCATTATAGTATTACTATCTCGGGGATTAGATCAAATATAAATTATATTTGATGCAACTTTAGTTACATTTCCATAACCTTTCCAGGGCCTGGAATTAGCATTTTGAATTTCCATGACTTTTCCAGGTTTTTAATGACCGTAGGAACCCTGAATAAATAGCTTAAGGACAGGGGGAAAAATCCTTCAGGTAGCGCCATTTTAGTCAACTTTTATCAAGGCAACATTGTTTTTTTTAGCATCACCTGTATTTGTTGACACGGAGGTACTGAGCAACTTGGACTGCAGTTGCTCTGTCATCCTCTGCCTCCTTCTCATCCTCTGCCTCCTTCTCATCATCTACATCCTTCTCATCATCCTCATCCTCATCCTCCTCCTCCTCCTCCTCACTCGTGGGCTCCAGCTCAGTCCCGACAGTGACGAGCAGCTCGGGCTCCATGGCGGCCCACAGCTCAGAAGCTTTAATCACTGCCACTGCAGCGAGGGGGAGGAACATTCAAACGATGGTTAGAGATACCGGGACAACGTACAGAAAGAAATATTACACTCAATGCCATTTACTAGCTAATGGATATAGATCAGGGGTGACCCCTGATTGGGCACCCCTGATATAGATGAAAGCAGTGTAGGGAACGGTGCCTTGCTCAGGGACACCTTGGTAGCACTTGGTCTTGCTGGGACTTGAACTGGTGACCTTCCAGTTGCCAAGCCAAGTCCCTATCGACTTCGCCACCACCGCCCCAACATTAGACCTGGTTTGCTGAGTTCGTGAATTCTGCCCTCAGATTTTCCAAAAAGCAACTCACTGCTGACTGAAGGTCTGAGAGAGCTGGGTGACCTCCTTGCCTCCTACACACACACCACACACAGACAAACAACCACTCCCACTGTCAGCATCCTCCCTGTGAATACTCCTCTGACTTTAGAGGAATCATTTGGGTTGAGCTGGGTCACTGTAGGCAGGCCCTTACAGCAGAGCAGGAACGTTTCTCTGCACTGCCAAGATTACCTGCCGGTCGAGGCAAAGAGGAACCCAGCTCTCATTCAGTCAGCTCGTATTCGCCTTGGACTCATCACTGGGCAACATGTCAGCGAGCATTTGGGGAAATAAACGCATTTTAAAACCGGGTTCATCCTCACCTGGTGCTTTCCCCTCCAGCTTCTCTCTCAGCTCTCTGAGTTTAGTTGCCTCCTTCTCAAGCGGTTTCTTCAGATCGGCACTGCTCAGCTAAAGAAATGAGAACATACATGAAAGAGAAATCTGCTATTCTAGGTTTAATTCTGTTGCTTTTAGTTACCTTGCAGCTGTAGGGGTTGTGTGCGATGAAGGCGGCCAACAGCTGGATGGCGCTCTTCACCACATGTATGGATTTGTCCATCAAACGCCCCACAGCGAGCTCCATCACCTCACTGTACTTGAACAGGGGCAGCGCCTAAACACAGAGGGTGTATTACCACGGGTAGGCTTTAGTGCCATTATGCATTTACACACATTAGGGTAAACGGACGCTGCTCTCGTGGCAACCTGTAACATCCCGCCTTTTTATCTCAGTGGTTTATTTGTTGTCTCATCTGTATTTTAGCTGCAACAATGTACATGTTCCCTCTGTGGAACGAATAGAGTTATTATGATTCTGATAAGTGGATGAGAACTTACTTTGCTGTTGACGATGCGCGTGTAGACCTGCAACACTCGCGCCCTGACGTGGGAATGTGTGTCATGAAGATGTTCCTGCATTGTGTCGAAGAAGCGGTCGCGGTCAGCTTTACCAGCGTCGTCGAGCCCGTCGCCACACAGGACCCGAACCAGGATCTCCCCCAGAACCTCACACACGGCAACACGCATTGTGTGGCTCTGCAACACAAGTGTGAAGGAGACGATAGGTCGTTAATCATGTTCTTCTGACAGTTGAACCGAGCAAGAATAAACTTTTGTGTCCTATACTCTGCCCTCAGATTACCAAAGATGCAACTCACTGCTGACTGAAGGTCTGAGAGAGCTGGGTGACCTCCTTGCCTCCTACACACACACCACACACAGACAAACAACCACTCCCACTGTCAGCATCCTCCCTGTGAATACTCCTCTGACTTTAGAGGAATCATTTAGGTTGAGCTGGGTCACTGTAGGCAGGCCCTTACAGCAGAGCAGGAACGTTTCTCTGCACTGCCAAGATTACCTGCCGGTCGAGGCAAAGAGGAACCCAGCTCTCATTCAGTCAGCTCGTATTCGCCTTGGACTCATCACTGGGCAACATGTCAATATATTTCGCCTCATGCCTGTTTAATATGCGTTTACCTAATAGCACTAATCAATAACAACTAACTGATGGGTACAATTTAGTACCCTGGATACTAGTTTCCAATTCATAGTGGTGCATTTGTAATGTTGTGTTAGCAGGATGAACATTTCAAAGTATGCAGTACCTCTCCCTCCAGGTGTGTGATGAGCACACTGATGTTGGGCATCATTAACTCAGGAATAAGGGTGCCGAGTTCAGTAATGAAGGAAGCAAAAGCTTTGACCCCGGCGGAATCTCTGGCAAGCTCCTCACTGGACCTCTGACCAATCTCCCTGAAGGAATGGGACGGGGGAATTAAACACGCTACTTTGCAGCCACAGAAACACATTTGCATTAAAAAATGAGTACCGACCTAATAATTTCTCCTATGATCCCCCTGACTCCATATTCCGTGCTCCACACAAACACTGCCTGAGCAAACACGCTGGACAACTGCTCAAAGTGTTGCAGCAACTGGATCACCTTCACACTGGCACCTGAAAGCATTTAAGAGTAAACATGAAGATGTACACCGTATGCTGAACTGGTACGTTGATATGCGCCCTCTGTTTTTAATCTGGCAGACAGGTTCAGAATATGACAGAGACTAACCCAGGATGTGGTTGTACTTCTTGATTAGCACCCCCAGCAGGTGGATTATACAATCTCTGGTGGGTTTGCTCTTGACGTGGCTGATGGTTGGGTTCTCAAGGAGTTTGTAGCAGCAGCACGTCACACAGCTAAGAAGAACAAAGGATCCGATGTTAATTCATGCCGTTGTTTGATAACATCTGAACAACCCAACCTAAAAACAGAAGAAAATCTACACATAACGTTATGCATCCGTTAGGAAAAGATTGCAGTGCTATCCAGAGCTTGTTTGGAATAGTTTTCCACTGTTTTGTTGTATTTCGCTAGGTAATTAGAAGTTCTAGTATTAACTGAATATCATTCCAGCTGAAAAGTGAAGAAATGTTCACATGGAAACATTTATGAAGAAACAGTTCCAATATCACCTACGCTTAATAAGTGTGATGCCAAAATAATAGAAAGACAAAGATAATTTTCCTCAAATAAACAAGAATATGGGCTAAAATGTTAGCAATTATGGGCAAAGAGCCGCAGGACCAATGTGGAAATGACACCAACTAACTGATTCAAGTGGACCAAGTCTGATATTGTGCTTTTGCCCAGATCCGAAAAGTACCTGATGAACTCTTCGTCCACCAGGGAGAGGTTCCAGAGGGAGCGGATATCGAGCTGGAGGAGCTGCACGAGAGCCTGCAGCACTTTCTCCCTCTCAGACTCCCACTGCTGCAGCCCTTCAACCCCACCTTTGCCCTTTTTACCGCCCTGTGGAAGACAGAAAAAACACGTTTAACTTCCTAGACACTGAAATCAAATAGTCCTACACACAAACAGTTGGCTTACAACACCTGCCCTCAGTTTACCAAAGACTGTAATTCATATTCCAAACCGAGTATGGTCTCATGCCTGCTGATACATTCACACATGACACAAACACACATCCACACATTGTTTGACATCTCCTACCTGCCCGGTCCCATTGCTCTTGGGGGGGGCAGATGCAGTAGAAGGTGTCAGGTTAACTGTGGGTGGGGCCTTACAGCAGTGTGATACAACTCCATCACAACACCAAGACTACCCATCGATCAGCAGGCTGGAAACCCCAATCTCTTGGTTTGACTGCGTCATCAAACTTGCCATGATATCATCATGCGGGCGATTCAAACTGTTAAACACAGCAACAATTCACTGTCATTTAAAACATGTCAGGGTGTGTCCCTGATAACCATACCTTTCCAGGTGCCGTGATAATGCACTGTCGATAGGCCTCGCTTTCAAAGTTCTCGGAGAGTTTGCAGAGCAGGTAGACGCTCATTTTAACAGCGTTGAGTTTCTCTTTGCGCTCTGCAGCTGTGACGGAGGTGGAGAGGAGAAGTGCTGGCAAGGAAGTTGCAAGGCCACTAACCACTGAAAGAAATCAAGACATTGTTTGTGTTGAGTGTATGTTTCTGTGTATTGTACAATATGGAAGTATACAAATGAAAAAGGTCTTACCTTGTAATAGTATGTCCAGAGCGTCTTCTTTTACACCCAGCTCCACTGAGTTGCAGTGCCTTTCAAAAGAAAGACAGTAGATGTGTAGGCATTCGGCTCTTAAAAACAATTACTACAGCAGGCTATACAGATTCAAAAGGACTTACTGCAGTAAGCTGTATCCGGTGTCAAAGTGTTCCAATATACACAAAGGTCCTTGGCTTCTCAGGGCTGCCTTAAATTCTGTGTGGTAGAGACAAAAACCTTAGTCACGATCACCTTAAGTCAGCACAAATAAAAATGTCTCAGAGAACATATCCAGGACTTACTATGAAGATGGGATGGAAGATGTTTAGGGGACACCACATCCTGAACGACGTACTGGTTGATGCCTCCAGACCTCACCAGGTCACCCACACACACGGGCACAAAAAAGTCCCACGACATCCCTGCGTCAAGCAGACAAAAACAGTTTACTAAACAAGCTTACATAGTTGCGTTATTTGATTATTAACATCCAGTTTTAGTTCTTAACAGTAATCCATGTGCTCGGTGATTCCCAAGCCGCTGTACTTCTTCAACCTCAAGAAGTACTTAGATATTTAGATACGGTGTAGATTAGTATTGCCGTGTCTTTACTTGAAGTGACTGAAATACTTTAGCATAGGATCCGAGTACTTCTTCCACCTCCGCTTAAATTGAATACTTTCCTCGCCACGATATGTTAACGGTTACTTTCTATCAAACCTGTAGGAACGTAACAGTAGCTTCGATCACTAAGAAATGTGTTTTATTCAGTACGTAATGCTAACTGGTAAGCTAAGGAGCACACAACTCAACACTAACCTTCAAATTATACAAGACGTATGATGTATTTATGAAAAGTGAATACGATGTTTTCTAGTCCGTACTGGTGTGTTGTTGTGAATTAAGCTAGCCCCACTAACAGCTAGCGCTAGCAACGTTAGCAGGGTAGCTAACTTTAGCTGCTAAATGTTTTGCTTCATTAGGCGGCTGTACGTTATTTAACGAGAACCACTGAAGCTAACCTAACAACGCTGTTGAACTATCTTAGAAATATAACGCTCACCTCTAGCGGCTGTTTCCCTTTTATCCACGATGAAGCCCTCTGGAGACTGAAGGTGCAGATGCTCTGTCCGCGGCTCCTGGCTGTTTGAATCTGCAGCTTTTCAAACTTTCCTAGACCTCGCGCCCAGAGCCGTATATACTGCTCGCGCCAAAGCAATGAGGTCACACGTTAACGGTCGTTTTACCCAGCACTGCCACCTACTGGACAGATGTGAACACTGCAGCAGTCACACATTGTTTTTATTTTAAACGGGAAACTTTTTTAACAGAGGTTTAAAGACTCACAGGCTTTTTTTAAAGTATTTGTATTTAGTTGAATTCTTAACTCTCTTGCTCTTGCGAAAAACAGGAGGATATAATATTGCGGATATTTATGGGGGGACAGAGCCTTCTCCGTCGCTGCCCCCTCCCTCTGGAACTCACTCCCACAACCCATCAGAGACTGCACTGACCTCACCACCTTCAAAAAAACTCACCTCTTCAATCTGGCTTTTAATGTGTGATTGTTTTTGTATTATTTGACTTTAACTATATATTTATTTGTTGTTCCTTCCTTTTCTTTTCACTATACCTGTAAAGCGTCTTTGAGCACCTATAAAAGCGCTAACAAATCAAATCTATTATTATATTTAGTTAAAGTCAAGGCAAGGCAAGGCAAGGCAAGTTTATTTATATAGCACTTTCCAACACAAGGCAATTCAAAGTGCTTTACAAAAAATGAAAGAGATTAAGAAAATGGCATTTAAAATCAGTCATTAAAAAGAAAAGCTAATAAAATAAACATTAAAAGAAAAAATACATGGATAAAAGTTACAGTGCAATTAAACATTAAAAGAAAAAGTACATGGATAAAAGTTACAGTGCAGTCTAAGATATGAATAGTTCAATTAAAAGCAGCGACAAAAAGAAAAGTCTTCAGCCTGGATTTAAAAGTAGTAAGAGTTGCAGCGGACCTGCAGGTTTCTGGGAGTTTGTTCCAGATATTTGGAGCATAATAACTGAACGCTGCGTTACCATGTTTAGTTCTGACTCTGGGGACAGAAAGCTGACCAGTCCCTGAAGACCTGAGAGATCTGGATGGTTCATAATTTAGCAGGAGGTCAGAAATGTATTTTGGGCCTAAACCATTCAGTGCTTTATAAACCAGCAGCAGTATTTTGAAATCTATTCTTTGACACACAGGAAGCCAGTGTAAAGACTTCAGAACTGGAGTGATGTGATCCACTTTCTTAGTGTTAGTGAGGACTCGAGCAGCAGCGTTCTGAATTAGCTGCAGCTTCCTAATAGATTTTTTAGTGAGACCTGTGAAGACACCATTGCAGTAGTCGAGTCTACTGAAGATAAAAGCATGGACAAGTTTTTCCAAATCCTGCTGTGACATTAGTCTTTTAATCCTATATATATTCTTTAGGTGATAGTAGGCTGATTTAGTAACAGTTTTAATGTGACTGTTGAAACTCAGGTCAGAGTCCATGACTACACCTAGATTTCTGGCTTTATCTGTTGTTTTGAACATTGCACACTGAAGCTCAGCGCTAACTTTTATACGTTCTGCCTTGGCTCCAAAAACCATTACCTCAGTTTTATCTTTGTTTAATTGGAGAAAGTTCTGACACATCCAGTCATTGATTTGTTCAATGCACTTACTCAGTGTTTGAATTGGAGCATAGTCTCCTGGTGAAATTGTTACGTAAATTTGTGTGTCATCTGCATAGCTATGGTAACTTATTTTGTTTGTTCTTCATTATCTGAGCCAGTGGTAGCATGTAGATGTTAAAGAGAAGAGGCCCCAAGATGGAGCCTTGAGGAACCCCACATGTCATATTTGTCAACTCAGATGTGTATTTACCTATAGAAACAAAGTTGTTTCTGTCCTTAAGTAGGATTCAAACCAATTCAGAACTGTTTCCGAAAGTCCCACCCAGTTCTCCAGTCGGTCTAGTAATATGCTGTGGTCAACAGTGTCAAACGCAGCACTGAGATCTAATAATACTAACACTGAAGTTCTGCCACTGTCTGTGTTTAAGTGGATGTCATTAAAGACCTTTACAAGAGCAGTCTCAGTGCTGTGGTTTGGACGAAAGCCTGACTGGAACACATCAAAACAGTTATTTAAATGCAAGAAATTACTCAACTGTTGAAAAACAACTTTTTCAATGATTTTACCTAGAAATGGGAGGTTTGATATGGGCCTGTAATTGTTCATTACTGAAGCATCTAGATTATTCTTTTTTAAGAGCGGTTTAATGACTGCAGTTTTCAGGGCCTGTGGAAAAATACCTGAGTGAAGAGATTTGTTTACTATATGAAGTAGATCTGAGGCCATGCAACAAAAAACATCTTTGAAAAATCCTGTTGGAATAATATCAAGGCAGCAAGAGGAGGATTTCAGAAGTTGAATAATGTCCTCTAGGTTTTTATCATTAATCTGATGGAATTGTGTCATGATGTCTGAATTGATGTTAAGTGGAGATAGGGACAACACATTTGCTGTTCCTGATGCAGAGGCACTGACTGCTTGTCTGATTTTCTGAATTTTGTCAGTGAAGAAGGAGGCAAAATCATTGCACGCCCTGGTGGATAGAAATTCAGAGGCTACTGACACTGGGGGGTTAGTTAGTCTGTCGACGGTAGCAAACAAGGCACGTGCGTTGTTTTTGTTTTTGGTAATGATGTCAGAGAAGAACGATTGTCGTGCGTTTTTCAATTCCAAATTATAAAGGCCAAGTCTCTCTTTATAGATTTCAAAGTGAACCTGGAGATTTGTTTTTCGCCACCTGCGTTCACTTCAATTACTGTTTTCTCTTCTCATATGAGATCACAAATTATGTCTGTATTATTTGAATGTGTCTCTTATCAGTTGTATCCTTTATTTCCTCATTTCCATTCATGTATTTTGTGAAATTCAAAAGTTAGGTTTATTGTGTACTTACTTGTGCTTGACCGTAAATGTATTTTTTTGGTATTTACAAAAAAATAATGAATTACAAATGTTGATATAATATATGTTATACTCTTTTATATATATCGTTCTATTCATAATTTAAACATTGCACACTGAAGCTCAGCGCTAACTTTTATACGTTCTGCCTTGGCTCCAAAAACCATTACCTCAGTTTTATCTTTGTTTAATTGGAGAAAGTTCTGACACATCCAGTCATTGATTTGTTCAATGCACTTACTCAGTGTTTGAATTGGAGCATAGTCTCCTGGTGAAATTGTTACGTAAATTTGTGTGTCATCTGCATAGCTATGGTAACTTATTTTGTTGTTTTTCATTATCTGAGCCAGTGGTAGCATGTAGATGTTAAAGAGAAGAGGCCCCAAGATGGAGCCTTGAGGAACCCCACATGTCATATTTGTCAACTCAGATGTGTATTTACCTATAGAAACAAAGTTGTTTCTGTCCTTTAAGTAGGATTCAAACCAATTCAGAACTGTTTCCGAAAGTCCCACCCAGTTCTCCAGTCGGTCTAGTAATATGCTGTGGTCAACAGTGTCAAACGCAGCACTGAGATCTAATAATACTAACACTGAAGTTCTGCCACTGTCTGTGTTTAAGTGGATGTCATTAAAGACCTTTACAAGAGCAGTCTCAGTGCTGTGGTTTGGATGAAAGCCTGACTGGAACACATTGAAACAGTTATTTAAATGCAAGAAATTACTCAACTGTTGAAAAACTACTTTTTCAATGATTTTACCTAGAAATGGGAGGCTTGATATGGGCCTGTAATTGTTCATTACTGAAGCATCTAGATTATTCTTTTTTAAGAGCGGTTTAATGACTGCAGTTTTCAGGGCCTGTGGAAAAATACCTGAGTGAAGAGATTTGTTTACTATATGAAGTAGATCTGAGGCCATGCAACAAAAAACATCTTTGAAAAATCCTGTTGGAATAATATCAAGGCAGCAAGAGGAGGATTTCAGAAGTTGAATAATGTCCTCTAGGTTTTTATCATTAATCTGATGGAATTGTGTCATGATGTCTGAATTGATGTTAAGTGGAGATAGGGACAACACATTTGCTGTTCCTGATGCAGAGGCACTGACTGCTTGTCTGATTTTCTGAATTTTGTCAGTGAAGAAGGAGGCAAAATCATTGCACGCCCTGGTGGATAGAAATTCAGAGGCTACTGACACTGGGGGGTTAGTTAGTCTGTCGACGGTAGCAAACAAGGCACGTGCGTTGTTTTTGTTTTTGGTAATGATGTCAGAGAAGAACGATTGTCGTGCGTTTTTCAATTCCAAATTATAAAGGCCAAGTCTCTCTTTATAGATTTCAAAGTGAACCTGGAGATTTGTTTTTCGCCACCTGCGTTCACTTCAATTACTGTTTTCTCTTCTCATATGAGATCACA